AAAACTTTTCATATAAATATCATTTTGAAAAGAATAATGTTAGAACCAAAGTATGTAAACTATTCTTTCCCAATACTTTACATATCAGTGAAGAATTTTTAAAAGGAGAATTAGTTTTGATAAGGTAGTTAACAATGCAAGTGGTATACCAAGGTCTCCAAATAAAGGCAAAAAGAATGTTAGGAAAATTTCTGAACAAGTCTAAGATAAGATCAGGGAACATATCAATAGTTTCCCAAGAGTGGAGTCCCACTACTGTAAGCAAAACACTAAAAAAGAATATTTAGCTTCTTCATTGAGCACTATTAAAATGCACAGTTTATTTACAGAAGCTAACCCTGAGTTAAAAGTAAAAAAAGATGTATACTATGGAATTTTCAATAATGAATTCAATTTGGCATTTTATAAGCCTAGGAAAGATTTATGTGATTTATGCCAAGAATACAAATATAAAGATGATGATGAAAGAATAACAAATCATAGAGAGAGTAAATTATTAACTAAACAAGAGAGAGATAGTGACCTTGCTAAGGTGTCTTGTGGAAAGTACAAAAGAACAGCAAATATTACGTTTGATCTTGAAAAGGTGTTCCCCCTCCCAATATCTCCAGTGTCAGTTAATTACGAAAAAAGAAAATTAAACTGCTATAATTTACCTGCACACTGTTCATTAAATAACAAAACATATTGTGCACTTTGGAATGAATCTATGGCAGGTAGAGGAGCAAATGATATTGCAAGTTGCATTTACAAAATATTAAAAATAATAATTCAAGATTGCCCAAACATAACAATTAATCATATTATTTTGTGGTCTGATTCTTGTGTACCACAGAACAAGAATTCAATAATGGCTATGGCAATTAAAATGTTCCAAAGTGAATATCAAATAACTCTTATTGAGCAGAAGTATTGTGAACCTGGTCATAATATTGATGCTGTGCACAGTGTGATTGAGAGAAATTTGAGAGATGTTGAAATTCACAGTCCTCTTACCTTAGTTAAGTTATTGTTTTCTATTGACAAAACTAGTAAAGTAGCATTTAAAAATTATTCAAATGAGCAAAGAGGACTTTAAAAACTTCAAAACTGCTTCTGAAAGTTTATATTTCAAAAATGTTCCTTCTTCAAAACTGAAGCAAATTGTGTATGAAAAAGAACAACCTTTTCATATCAAATTCAAACTATCATTCTCAGGTCCATTAGTTGAAGAAAGATTAGTAAAAGGTACTCCTCAAAGAAGGAAAAAGATTAGTAAAAGGTACTCCTCAAAGAAGGAAAAAGATTAGTAAAAGGTACTCCTCAAAGAAGGAAAAAGATTAGTAAAAGGTACTCCTCAAAGAAGGAAAAAGATTAGTAAAAGGTACTCCTCAAAGAAGGAAAAAGATTAGTAAAAGGTACTCCTCAAAGAAGGAAAAAGATTAGTAAAAGGTACTCCTCAAAGAAGGAAAACGGGGCAAGTAAAATCTCCTATAGAATTCCCTACATTGAAAAATGATTAAAAAAAAATTGTATTGTCAGATGAAAAAATTAAGGACCTCAAGTCAATGCTTAAATATTTTCATGACATAGATCAAGAATTTTATAAAGCTCTTTTTGAGTCTCAAAGTCAGAAAAGAAAGTGACATTGTACATTATTTTTGTAAAAGAGTTTATAAAATTTGTACTTACAATAGTTTTTATTCTGTAATAATTGCCAATATAATATTGTAAATATTTATTTCTTGAGTTTAATAATATGTAATAAAATATTTAGACATTACAATCGTCATCATTTTTTACTAGTTATAACTTACATTTTTAGTACAGACAAATTGAATCAACAAAAACACGTGTAATTAAAAAATTTTCTTGTGTTTGATTTTTGATTTTATAAAACATTATTATTAAAGTTTATTTAATCATAATGTTTAATTTAAAAAAATAAAAAAAGAAAAGATGCAAAGTTTTGTTATTATTACTTATACCAAAAAAAAAAAAAAAAAAAAGGGGGAAACGCAGGAGAAAGAAGGTTGTTATGCATTGCTAGGGGGGGGGGGGCTATTTTATTCATCTGAGTATATAGCAAAATATTTTAATTTGAACACAAATAAATTTTTAATAACATTAAAAACAATTTGTTTTAATTAATAATAGATGAAGAGAAAATAAGGAGGAAGGAGGGGGAGGGAAGAGGGGGATCAGTAAACCAGTAGCCCATTAGTATTATAATTAAAATTAATCATAATAACAATAAATCAATTATTATTTTGGCTAATATAAAATAAATTGCAAATACAACAAATGTGTTCAGAAAAAGAAATCGAAATTCAGAACACATTTGTTGTATCTGAAAAACACCGCTCTTGCTTACAAGGGTAGTTTTCATTTTTTTTTTAATTTTAATGATCTTCTTTTATATATTTTAATCTTCTAGGCCAAATTTCAACTTGGAAAGCAATATACATAAAGAGCTATTGTAATTTAAACTTTAAATGCATGTCGAATACGACAATTGCATATATATATATATATATATATATATAATATATATATATATATATATATATATATATACACACACTTACTAAAGCGTATTTTTATAAGCATTTGCTCACTTTTTTTGCTTACCTTAACCCATACGGTTTTTTTTAGAAAAAGAAGAAAAAAAACGAAAAATGATGAATGAAACAATTGTTGCCCTATCCCAAACCCTCAGTCGATATAGCAGCACTCCACTGCGAGTCAGGCTATTTGTCAGTCGATGTATGTACTGAAGTCCCAGCAGCAGGCTATTTCAGTATGATGTCAGATTGCTTACCTTAGTACGCAATACTATTTGTGTATATATATATATATATATATATATATATATATATATATATATATATATATATATATATATATAGACACACACACACAGATATATATATATATAATATATATATATATATATATATATATATATATATATATTTATATTTGAGTACCTTCGGAAATAGTGTCGTCACTTTGAATATAGTTTCTCAAAGTTTGAATTGAGGAGAGTTATTTTCTTATGGACCTGCCGTCACTAACAATTTTTTCCAAGCTTTTAATGGTCCTGGAATATTTTACTTGATAGACTGTAAGAGAGCAAACTCTATGTAAAATTTTGATTTGAAAAGTATCTTTACTTTTTCATTTAAAGCTAATTGTATCTGTAGATTCTGGGTTGATAATAACTTCTGGTACCAGGAATTGACATACTTTGCTGAAAATGTATGTTCAAAATGGTGCGCAGTTCTGTCAGTCTTTCTATTTTAATCTTGAAAAAAATTCTTTAATATTGTAACTGAAGTTAAACATTTTTTTACAACTCAATAATCTATTTATTTATTTATTATAATTTGCAATGTAAGAATAAGCTGTTAGCTTGTTATAACCTCAGACATCACTTTGTATCATCACTGCGTGGTCTGTAGGCTGTCACTGATGAAATAATACCTCATCATTGCCAACTAATTGTGCATCAAGGAATTTATTTAAAGAAACTATACCCAGAAAGTTAATACATTAATGAACCATGCAATCCTTATTTGTTACATCACAAACAACTTATGTCATCAGAACCTAATAGTTACATTTCTATTGCATAGCATCCGTTACGAATATTTTATTTTGATGGTGGGTACATTTACAAATATAGGAATACCGGATGCTTCAACAGTTATATATCATTTCGGCTTTTAACTATTAAGAACTTCTTTAACTGTAAGTTATAAAATATATAAACTTATACTATATAATATATATAAAGTATATATAATATATATATATAATATATAAATAATAGTAATATATATAACTTAACTATAAAGAACGGACTTTAACTAAAAAGACCATAGAAAATATATAGCGCACAAGAGGACATATAGCACACATATAAAGCTCATAGGTGTTTTTTCATGTGTTGGTTTCTACCAATACTTATATCAATACTTATATAATCTTCTTATATAAAACCAATAATAATTAATCTAATGAAACTTTCACATTGTGATAATCGGAAATATAAAACCAATAATAATTAACTTTATATATATAAATAAATAACTTTCAGATTGTGACAATCGGAAACAAAATGGTTTTTTTAATTGAAATCTATTAGTTAATATTAAAAATGTTACATTTTATTTCAACGCCATAACAATGATGAACATAAGATAACAATGATGAACATAAGATAACAATGATGAACATAAAACAACAATGATGAACATGAGATAACAATGATGAACATAAAATAACAATGATGAACATAAGATAACAATGATGAACATAAATTTCTTCTATTCTAGTGTAATGTTTACAAACAGAAATTTTTGTTATTATTAAAAGTTTTTATTTAATTAATAAAATTGCGGCTAATATTTTTGCATTAAAAAAACTATTTTTTATAACTTAACGAACAAAGTTTAATCAATACTATATATTTTCCAAAAAAATTATTGTATTTGACATATTTGAAAGCATTAAATTTTTTTTTAAATGACATCAAAAAACTCAAATTAATAATTAGGAATATTTAATATCAATTTATGCAGTTTTTGATCATTTCATTGGATTCCTCATCCAAATCTGGTACAAACATTAAAATAAAAATGAAAAATATTTTCAAAGTTATCTTACATTAAACTTTTAAACAGAAATTGTAATTCTTAGGAAACTAATACTTGCTTAAAGTCAAACAGTCATCTGCTTGGAGTTAGTGGCTTAAATTTTAATTGAAAAAATTTTATTTTTTAATTTTAATTATTATTATATATTAATTTTAATTATTATCTTATATTATTTTTTTAATTTTAAGATCTGCTTGTATTTAGAAATTTTAAAGGAACTCTAATTTTTCTTAGTTTCTAAGTCCTCTTACCTGTGTAAAAAATAACAAATTCTGAGATATATGGTAGCATGGCTTAAATGAATTGACATAAAATGACATGGTATACCTGTCTTTTATAGATAAACTAAATAAGTTTTACCTTTTTTTCCAGTAAGAACCAAATCACCAACAACCGGTGATAAACCATACATCTTTAAAAAAAAAAAATTCAAAAATAATATTTGACAGTTTAAAATAAAGAAACTTGGTCATTATGTAAACAGTTAAGACTAAATCAAAAATTTAATTCTTTTAATGCAAATTCTGATTGGTTCTTATTAAAAGTAAAAACTTATTTAATTATTAAAAACATACATTTATTCTTTTAGAAACCACATGATTCCAAATAAAACTTTGGTAGCTGTGAAGATAAAGAAGGCGATTATTACGTGGAAGAGTCTGCCATGCATTCCAAAAATTGTATCCATGTTTCTGTTGGTTTAATGCTGCTAATAATTTTCCTTCTATTGAATAGCAACTCAGCAATGCTTCAAATGCTTTTGCAGCATCTTTTGTTTCTGTCCATATTTTTTTTGCATTTGATTCAGCATTATAATCATTGGAATCTAGTCGAGGCATAAGAACCATATCTACTGCTTCTGAGAAGTTATTTTTTAAAAGAGCTTTACCTAAAATTTAATTTTTTTATAAAAATTTAACTTTAAAATCAAAAATATATAAATAAGAAACATATTTAAAAAGAAAATTAAAAGCGAAACAAATTTAAAAAAACTAATAGTGAAAAAGTGGACATTAATTTATTTGATTATTAAATTTAAAACTAAGTTTCAAACCAATTTCATGGGTAGCAACACCTCCAGTACCAAACCTTTGTAGACCAAAATAATTCACAAAGCCATTTTCTTTCAACAAATTGCATGCTTGGTTTACAGAAGCGTCATCAGCTTGAACATTCCGTATAATGATTGTGAATTCATTGCCTGTCAAATCACCTAATTTTAATTGTTCATTACGATAAACAAAGTCACCTAAAACAATATTGTTCAAGCGTTTGTTAACTCCTAAAAGGTTTTTTGAATATATATTTTGAGCAGAAATTTGTTGAACAGTTGTAGCACGACGGTCTTTTGTTCCAGCATATGAAAAACAGCTAGCATTTACATGCAGTAACTTTGCAAGCAAGCTGATACATTCCATGGTATCCTTGTTTTGTTTAAATAGTGTAAAATGACAGAACTTTGGTAGGTTTTTTGGCCATGTGTTATTTTTGCGACTTTTTTGCTGTTTAGCACATTTAAAAGAAAGTATAATTGCACGGGAACCATCAGGTAACATTTCAGTACCAGTTTCTAAAATAAAAAAATTAAAAAGAATTTGTAACTTATTTTTTAACAAAGCTTAAAAAAAAATTTAAATAATGTTTACCAGACCTCTTATAATAAAGTTAAGGAATCGTGACAAACATTTTTGAAGAAAAACATAAACACTCTGCAGTCACCTATATCTTTATATGTGTCCTTAATGTATTTGTGGACAAGCTTGCGATGTTCTTTGTCATCGTCTTTCTTCAGAATTAATGTTTTAGATTTATCTTCGCTCAACACAAAATTTTTTATTTGTTCAACATCAACATCAACTGGAACTACAGTATTTTGATTTGAACTATCTTCAAATATTCCATTATCACAATGTTCCAAGGACTTCAAGTAAACAAGATTTCCTTCTAAATCACATTCTCTTACCATAAAATCTGCAAACCTTTGTTTTATTATTCCAGAAAACTGACATGGTTGATTAACAAAATGTAGCATGCCAACTTTTTCTTCATTTTTTCGATCGTAAATATTTATAGACTTTTTTGATTTTTTAATATTGGTTTCATTTTGTTCATTTAAAAAAGTCTGATGACTGTTGTTGTTACCATCTTGATTATCTACAAACTTATTATTATCATGTGTAGATATTCGATCTTCATGAGACTCGTCAGTTTTTAATTTTTTTAACAAAGGTTCATTCATTTTATCTTCATGAGAGTCTTCAGCTTTTAATTTTTTAAAAAAAGATTCATCCATTTTATCTTCGTGAGACTCTTCAGTTTTTAATTTTTTAAACAAATGTTCATCCATTTTATCTTCATGAGACTCTTCAGTTTTTAATTTTTTGAACAAAGGTTCATCCATTTTTATGTATTAAGATTTTGTAGCTTTTAATTACCTCATATTTAAAAAAAAATTATCATTCATTCAATTTTGTAATAAGTAATCATAAAATAAACTTCATTTTTATTTCAAAATTAAATTTAAAAAACTAAAAAAATATATATTTAAAATAAGTATCAATACAATTAATCAAGTCTGCAGGAAATAAAAATAATAAAACAATAATTATAATAAATTTTAATAAAGTAATATGGTAAATTAAACTACTTTAATTTATTTGATTATTTTTTCAATTGTTAAAAGTTTGTTAAGGCTATTTATTTTAGAGGTTAGGGTTATCAGATTTAGTATTTTTTTTAAAGAAGTCCTGGTACTGTTTTTTTCAAAGGTTATTACTATGTTTTTTTGACGGGGTTATTACTATGGTTATTACTATGTTTTTTTGACGATATTAGAGTTACAGTTGTTTTTTTTAGAAGATTTTTAGGGTTAAGCTGTATTTTAAATATAAATAATTTTAAATTAAGAAAAAACTTACAAATACTGGTGCATTATATTTGTTTTACAATTTGTATTCAAAACATATATATACAATAATAAACACCAACATAAATATATTATAAATATATCAATTTATAAATACATTATATACACACTATTCATATAATTTTTATCATATAAATTTAATAAAATAATAAATTACAAATACCTTCTATTTAAAATAACTATATATATATATATATATATATATATATATATATATATATATATATATATATATATATATATATATATATATATATATATATATATATATATTATAGTTGTTTATCTTTTAATTGAACATTAACTGATAAACATTTTTTACCACACTCATTGTAATGGTTACACAATCATTGCAATCTAAACAAATAAAAGATTCGAATGAGAAATTTAAACAAATAAAATATTCTACTGAGAGCTTAAAAGCTGATGATGTCTAAGAATAAGAACAGATAATTTTTTTAACTTAAATCAAATATTTAAAAAGTTATTGCTGATACTTTAAATTTAAATCTAACATGGTTTGACAAAATAGAACTGAATTTTAAATAAACAATTAAAATTTTAAAGGAATATTTTTAAAAATTTAAATAAAATAAAATATTTTTAAAAAATAATATATTTTTATAAACAAACATCAAGTTTTTTAGTTTATTGTATTTTTTTGTAGCTTTGTCCCAGCTCAAGCCATGTTATAAGAAAAAGGTAATTTATCTCATTGTTTGTAATTTATGCAGCATTAAGCATATGTAGGTTAAACAAACAAGAAATACAGAATATTAGAACACACCAAACATATGAATTTATATGTTTTTCAACATTTAATGCCTCATAATAATGACCAGTAAAATTTTATTTAAAATATTTTACCCACAAGCAACAATTATATAACTAGAATTGCGCTAAAATCTATATATATATATATATATATATATATATATATATATATATATATACATATATATATATAAATAAATTACTCATGCGTAATATAATGTATAGTGCTGTTTGTAAATAAATTATTATACTTGATAAAGACTTAGTTAAAACAGTGCAAAAAAATTTTTACAATGACAATAGCAGAAACTCAATACTTACCTATAATTTGTTAGAAAATTTTTATTTGACTTGATGCATGTCAAGCGCATAGTCATCACAACTTAACCGGAGAATATTTAATCTTCCATTATATTTCAGCTTCATAAATTTTTGAGTATCTGAGAGGACTTCATTAAAAATAGATTTCCAGTAACTAAGTGTTGTTGTTTTAGAAACCAACCTTAAAAAAGAACAAATGTTTAATTTTAAATAGGTTTTAAAAACAGAAAAATTAAAAGTATAACAAAAATTTTTTTTTCTCTTTGCAATTGTTTGAAACTCACCTTTTAAAATATAAAAGCAGTAATTGCAGTGTTTCCATATTACGCGACTTAATTAGTAAATGGTTATAGGATTTTATTGCTTCTACATCTTTAGGATTTGGCTCTATAATTAAATATAGTAACTTAATTTTTGAAAATAGAATTTATTGGAAGCCTAAAAAACTAATTATCGTAAACAAAATATATATTTTTATTTATACAATCAAGAATTAGAAAGTTTTTATAATTTTTCTAAAAGGTCCTTGAAACATATACAACAAAAGCCCTAGTTAGGATGGCACGTGGCCCTAAAACAGCACACCACTAGTCAAATAGTGTTTTATTTTCAATATTAAGACAGGATATATCGTTGCTAAACCAACAAATTAATTTCCTTTAGAAAGTAGTTGTTAAAAAAACTCAAAAACTAGTTAGTAATTGTTAGAAACAGTTTTAATACAGTAGAATCCTGTTAACTCTGAACGGATATGTATATTTTGTCCAACTTAGCAAAGGTCCAAGTTAAGCAAAGCTTTTGGTATATATAGAGAATTCAAAGGGAATTGAAAATTTGTCTGACTTAGTAAAAGCCCGACTTATCCAGGGTCCGAGTAAACAGGATTCTACTGTAATAATAAGTTATAAATGGTTGAGTGATTTTTAGAAGATTGATACTTGGAAGCAATAGTGATTTGATATTTGGTAGTAATGGTAATTTGATAATTGGAATAATAGTGATTTGATACTTGGAAGTAATGATAATTTAATACTTGGAAGTAATTATTAGAAGCTTCTGTAACTTAATCCAATAGCTTGAGTAAAAAATATTAAGGAAAATTTTTTTTAGCACATAGAAAAATTTGCTGATAAGTTTATAAATTATTTCAAATCATATACATACTGGACTTGTATGTGGATTAAACTTGGTACTTTGCACTTAAGAAGCAAGAACAACTACCACTACTGTCACAACAATTAAATCAAAAAAGAACCTTTTATTAAAACTATGGGTAAAAAGCCATAATAGAAAAAATAATAAAACAGGTTCAACAAGAATGAAGATAAAAACAAATTATTATACAAGACCAAGAAATTTCAGATTTGAATTAAAGATTCAGTGAGTATATGTTAATATCAATGAGAATTAGATGAATATAAGGTGTTTTAAACCCACCCTACAAAATAAAATTTGAAATAAAGTCTTTTATTTTTAAGTTCAAAATCAATAAAAAAAAAATTCAAAACTAATTATCAATCGTAATATGTTAAAATAATTATTGATAGTAATATGCTAAAAGTGTTTTTGTAACAAGGATATGCTTGAATTAAAAATAAAGAGTTCATTTAGTCAAAATTAAATGAACAGATTTTGCTAATGATACAAACTATGTCCAATAATTCTAGTTTTAAAACAACTATAAGTGATTTAAATTCTTTTTATGTTTTTAACCACTTAAATCACTTGTCATTAATTTTATATAAATTTCTGAACTAAAGTATTGAAAACATTTAATTGGCAGTTATATTTGATCACTGCAAAATTTTATTTATATTTTTTTGTTAAGTATCTAGATTTGTGTTTTATTTTTAATATTACATTGCATGGTTTATTAATCTAGTTTAATATGATTATTTGTCAAATGAATATTAAAGTTTAAATGATTTTTAATGATAGTAACAAGGTTTTATAGTAAGATATTATATCATAATTATACGATAAACATTTTTTATTGAATAAAAACAATTGAACTTTGTGATTAAAACAGAGTTTATGGCTTTTAAAACTAAAAATCTATCAACTTTTATTAAGTTTAAAACAGCACAAAGGTTTTTCTTAAATATTTATCTGTCACAAGTTGATAAGGGTGTCTCAACTTCAGGTTTTAATTTTTCCCTGTTTTCCAATCTTGCAATTTTTTCTAAGACATCATTATTTTAAAATATTAAAAAATTAAAAAATCTTATAATAGTTTCTATAACTTAGTTATAGAAACTTATAGTTATAATATTAACATTATAACATTAAGTATTATAATATTTTAATTCCAAAATCAACGCAATTTTTGTTCTCCATAAGCTTATGATCTCTATAATTTTTGTGTTCTATGCTACACTTTTTGCTACATATTTTGCTGTGCAGGTTTAAACTTTATACAGAATGCCTTAGACAAAGTTATGCATACTTTGACACATCCTGCATGAAAAAGAAAATATAATGTGGATTTTCCATGACATGACTTTTAGTATCTTTCCATGATACTATTAGCATCTTTGCAGCTGAAGAAGCAAAAAAAGAAAGCATCTCTAAACATTTTTTCGTTGAAACAAACTTTGTTAAAATCATCTAATGGCTACTTGAGAACATTGAATAATCCTGACTATAGTTTAACTTGTAGACGCTAATGATTGTAACTATAGCAACTATTTTGTAATGATCTACATCAACCTTGCTGTCCCAGAAGTAAAGGAATCATGAATACTTTGTGTGTCCCCCTTTGCAAGCCAAGAAAGAAAGCAAACATTTTGAAATCACTACAAACATCCAACTTGAATTCAGAATAATTATTTTTTTCAAGAAGTTCATTGACATTATCATATTTTTCTTTCTTCTGCACCAAGTGTGCAAGGGACACAAATAAAAGCAACAGATATTTATTTCATATTATTATCTTTTCTTTTCCTTATCTAAGCCTAGGCTGCAGGAGAACCACAATAACAACCTCTTATAAAATGCTGTGTGAGGCACTGATAATGTATAGGTGTTCAGTTGCTAGTTACACTTAAAACTTTATAAACTAAAATGGTTGATTATTAGAATTATTTTTACAGAGAGAAACAAAATAAACATAAAAAATTAATTAGAAAACATTAAAAACTTTGCAGTGGGAAAAAAACTTTGTAAAAATTTGTAACATTGTGTTATTAACTCATTTTATTTTTTAGGGGTTAAAAAGAATTTTATTTTTTAGAGTTTGTTAAAAAGATCACTATTGTACAAGTTGTTAATTGTATAACACAATGACATACTAAAATCCAATTAAAAAAAAAAAAATCAAATTACCAACTCCTGATAAAATCCAATTTTGTAAATAAGCTTTTATTTCACTGATAGATTTTGTGATTTCAGATGATGTTGAAAATGATGATGTTGATAATCCATTAAAAACTGGAATAACCTACACAAAACTTACAGATAAGATATAAAGTTACATAATACATGGTTAAGTAAGTATGGCCATTACATAAAACTATATACACATTTTAACAAAGGCAATTCCTGTTACAGCTAAATCAACAAGTACTTCATAAAAACATTAAGACAATAAGTGTTTTTTTAAAAGCAATATGCAAAAATAAAACCAAAGTATTATTTTGGTTTCCTAAATTCTTTTTATTAAATATAAATGACAAAAGGTTTATTGTAGAAATTGAAGTTATTCGGTAAAGAAATTTTTTATTTATAAATATATTTATAAACTACCAAATTGATAAACACATTTATTAGTTATCAAATCAAATTTTAAAAAATTAAGTTAAAAAAGTTAAATTAAAGTTATTTTATCAAACAATTTAATTTTATAATTATTTTATGAACAATTATATTTTATTACTACTATTTTATATTTATATCTGTTACTCATTTAAAATCAAAAGATGAAAGAATACTGTTAATTATAGTTTCATTTAATTTATTCTTTTAGCTTTTCACAACAATTTAATCTATTCACATTAAATGTGTATGTATTTCACCTATAAATAAGAAATAAACAACATTATAACAATAAAGTAATAAAATGAACATAATGATTATAAAATTAAAATAAATAACAAAATGATGTTAAGTAGAAACAAATAATGTAATGGTAAAAAAGATATAAATAATAATATAATATCAATTCAACAAATGTAAATAACATCTAAGTAAGTAGTAATACCTGAGTAAGTTTAAAATCTTTTTCGATTGTGTTTTGATCTTTTTTAATTATGGCTTGATCATTATTCAGTAATTTTTGCCTTTCACTATGACGAATGGTTCTATTTTTGTTAGAACGTGCAACCATCATTACTTCTCTTTGCAACTCAACAGGCAATTCATTAAAAACTGAAATATCCAACTGAGAAGGTGATAATACATCAAAATTTTTTTCTTTATGATTTAATAACTTTTTATTAGAAATCAAAGGTGTATTGCAATCAACATTGGCATTATTGCAATCAAGATTGACATTATTGAAATTAACACGAGTTTCTTTAAAACCTAAAATTGTCTCATTTTCTTTTGGCTTCACATCCATAAGATTTTTTTTTTTTGCATTTTTAATTTCTAGCAAAAGTTCACTTTGAATGTCTTCAGGAAGTGCTTCCATAAAAGATTTATTAATTTGTGACGGTGATAATAAAACATCATTAAAATTTTTTTGTGATGGAAGAGCAACTAGTGGTGTTTGGAATGTAAAAGAAACTTGTGGCAACTGTTCATATACTAGTGACGTTTGAAGAGGTACAGATGAGTTTACAATTTTTGGAGGTGCAGTCAACTTTACTAGAGTTGCAGATGAAGTTGCAATATTTAAAGGTGCAGCTGATATAGGTGTTGTTACAGATGGTTTCTGTAATGGTAAAAATGATATTTGGTTTAAAAACTGTTTTTTTCCATGAGAAATTTTATTATTCTGAATTTCACTTTGTACTACTTTTTTCTCTTTGGAAATAAATTTAGTATTTTTTAACTCAGCAAGTATTTCATTTCTAATTTCTTCAGGTAGTTCATTTAATATATTAATGTCAACATTGGCAGGGGTTAAAAAACTACTTTTATTAATTTTTAAAGAAGTCTTGATATCTCTAAATTTACTTGAGTCTAAAAGTGAAATAACCGTTTTTGGTCGTCCTCTTCTACGCTTTTTATCTGGACTCATTTGGTTATATTTTTTTGTTTGAGCTTTTTTTGAGGGACTTGTAATTATTTTAGATGATAATTTTTGATCTAATATTTTTTCATGAAATTCTCCATGATGATAGATTTTTGAAGAGTTTTTTGTTCTACATTGAAGTTGAAGCTCTTCTTGTATATCAATTGGCAACTGATTCAATACTGAGAGATTCCAAGAGTCACATTCGCTCTAAAAATACTTTTATACAAATATAAATATTTCATACTATATTAAAAAAAAATTACATCGAAATTTTTTTTCAAAACAATAAAAGATCCAAACTACTTAACTCAACTCTCAAAACTACTTAACTCAACTAGCCTTAGCAAAAACTGAAGTTTCAAAAGATTAACATGTAAAACACTATTAAAAATTGCATTCTAGATATTGTAGAGCATTAATAAGGTAAAATTGACCAACTAAGCAGGATCATCAAAATCAATTAGGAACCAAGAGGCCAAGCCTTTTTGAACTATTTCTGTGTGTCTTAACTTTTTGATTTTATCAAAATATTTAAATTAGTTTCAAAATAAACTGGTTATTTAACCTTTAATAGAAACTGGTTATCTAACCTATAACCTTTAATAGAAACTGATTATCTAACCTATAACCTTTTATAGAAACTGGTTATCTAACCTATAACCTTTAATAGAAACTGGTTATCTAACCTATAACCTTTAATAGAAATTTTCTACAACCTTTTATAGAAACTAACAAATGTAAATAAAATAATTATAAATAACAGTTGAGAAGAAAGTAGAGAACAGAAATCAATTTAAATATTTTGATGCCTGTTTTTTTTTCCACATCTTGTAGAAAAGAGAAAGAGATGCGACTTAGCGTTGATGCAAGAGAGGGTCAAGCTTGACAGATAGAGCACAAAGTCTTGATAAGTCACAAGGTCTAACTACATTTAAAATGCATTTTTGAGCCTTGTCTAGAAAAAGCATCATTAGAAGAAGCAGCTCAAAAATGATAACAGTATTACATAAAGGGACAAATAGGAGAATACAGAGAATGGAATCAGGAGTATATGTTTTTTGTATTCCTTTGATAAAACTAAACTAATAAAAAGTAACATAAAGTGAAATTGTTATTGACAAGTTAGTTGTAGAAAAATAGTTTTCCTGTCATACAAAAGTTAGTTCTACAGAAATAGTTTTCCTGTCATGCAAAAATAGCACAATTTATAATATATAAGTTTACTATAACCAGTCAAACAGATAAAAATTACAAACATACTTAAAACATCTTTTATTAATGGCCATTCTAAAAATTTGATATATAGAGAAAAAAAATTAGCTCAAGCTAAAAAAAATTAAAACATATTTCTCATAAAACATATACCTGATTTTTAATATTTGGTGATTCCAAAATAAAAGATGTTGGTTCAAATAAATCTGGACTTGATAAAATATTTGATGCATTCTGTTCACTATCTTGAACAACCTTGCTACTTGTTTTAGGAATGTTAGCATCATGAACAACCTGACCACTAGAATTGTTAAGAACATCTTGAACAACCTGACAACTAGAATTGTTAAGAACATCTCGAACAACCTGACCAATAGAATTGTTAAGGACATCTGGAACAACCTGACCAATAGAATTGTTAAGAACATTATCTTGAATAAACTGACCATTACCATTGTTAAGAACTTTAGCGTGATTCATGAATTTAAACAAATCAACTGCTTTGTTTTGAATTATGTTGTCTGATAACTTTGTTACCTTAAACAAATTTTTAAAAGTATTACACAACATTTCTAAAATTATGCAAGATTTCTAAAACATTTTTTTTTTAAATATATATTATGTTCATAGTTTTATACTTGGGAAAAATTTACAAGAATATTGAAAAATAATAAATATAATATTAAATATAATAAATCAATTGACATTAATTTTATTATTACTACTATTATTATTGTTTTTATCATCATTATGATTGTTATCATTAGGGGTTGTCCATAAAGTACGTACGCCAAAAATTCTGAAATTTGACTCCCCCACCCCCCTGTTGCCATACGTATTTTTAAGTCCTCACCCCCCTTAAAAGTAAGTATGTTTTTCATATTCCCCCCCCCCCCCCCCAATTAAAAAATAAAAAAGTGAAAAATAAATATATGCAAATTTAAATAAAATTAAATCTTGCAATATCAAAGAGATCATTTGACCGAGTGGATAGTGTTATGGGTAGTGACAGCGGAAACCCGAATTTGATTCCCAGTATAGTCCTATTTTAATTTTTTTTGTTTAATGAGACACATCAAATAAAAATAAACTATACTTAAGTTAGACATTTTTTTAAGGCACCCTTCTTTAGTAAGTCCGTAAAAAGCAAGTCACGCAAGAAGAGTAATATTGAAAACAAAGCTTAAAACCCAGTGCCAAGTGAAGGTTATCCGTACTCCGTAACTAGAGGGAGTGGGGTGTTGTGGGGGAGCAGCAAATTTTATGCCCTTTTACTATTTTATTTTAGCAAAACCTAGCGGTAATATTTTGCTTAAGATTTTTAGACCCTAATGACACGTTTTTTTTTTTTTGAGGGGAGGGGGGGATCTCCGACCTATTAGCCATTGCACTACTAAAACCTATTTTTTGTTGACTCAAAAAATAGGTAACCTATTTTTTGCACATGCACACACACATCCCACCCCTTATATACTGGCCCTGAGTATACTTAGGGCCAGTATATAAAGGGTGGCATGGGTGCCTGCAGGATTTTTTGATGTTCCAGATAGGACACTTTCACACATTGTACAAACTCCAAACTTAAGTATGTTTTACCTATGCCAAATGAGGAGACCTTGTAAAAAATTGGGATGGCAGAGACCTGTCAAAAAATAGTCCTGAAATGCTTGTCCCCTGCTAAAAAGTGAGGGCACGTATGTAGTAAAATTTTTAACTTAATGATCTAAAACTAAATTCAAATTTATCAACAGAATTTAAATTTCGTTGAAAAATATTGTAAATTACAAAAGTTGTTGATGCAAAATGTAAAGCCCCTAATTTATTTATTTTTTTGGGGGAGGGGGTCAGAAAATTTTACTACATTAGAGCACTCACGTTTGGGTAGGGAAAGGGATGCAAGCATTTGAGGGCTTTTTTGTTACCAGACTACCGCCAAAAAATTTTTTTGCAAGGCCTCTTTAAATGGCATAGGTATAAACATACGTAAGTTTAGAGTTTGCACAATATGTGGAAGTGGTTTATCTGGAACATCAAAAAATCCTGCGGGCGCCCATGCATGTGTGTGCATAGAGAGAAACTATACCATCTACTTCCTATACAATACATCTTTTTATGTTGGCAAACTTGGATCTTTAGTTAGAATTTAACTTTTCTATTGACTAGCTGGTTAATTGTGTAAAGTTAGAAAATCGAAGTACTTACTTTTAAATTTAACCTCCCCCCCCACACGCTATGGTACGCTTTTTGAAGACATCTCCCTCCCCCTGTAAGCGTACGTTCTTTATGGACAACCCCTTATTATCTAACTAACAATACTAAACTTAGTACTGTTAGTAGAAGCCACTTGTGCGTATTTGACATGTAACTCTTGGTAGCTATTAAAGCTGAGGTAATGGTTATAAAGAGTCATTTTTATAATGAAGTATATGTATATATATATAAATATATGTGTATATATATATATATATATATATATATATATATATATATATATATATATATATATACATACATATATATATATATATATATATATATATATATATATATATATATATATATATATATATATATATATATATATATATATATATATATATATATATATATATATATATATATATATATATACACACACACACACACACACACACACAGTCATGGCCATAAATATGAAAACGATGATAAATTTTCTATTTTTTCATGATTCTTCATCATGTAAAGACAATTAGATATTAATTACAATTACAATTGTTAGATAATAATTGTTAGATAGTAGTTGTTAGATAACAGTTATTAGATAATAGTTATTAGATAATAATTACAGTTGTTTTCAAACCTTATAGTGTACTGGGACTGTTTTTGAAAGCTTCTAGACCACAGTACAGACAAACATCAAGAAGACAGCGTGGGTTAGGCATTTTTAATTCATTACTCTGTTACATTTTATAAAGTTTAGATAAATTTCAGCAAGTTATTGCAGTTTCTTGTTGTTTTATTGTGTAGTATACCAGAGTTATTCAATGTAATTACATGAGGCTAATTTTTTTATTCATAATTGCTGTTTAGGCAACAATTTTAGCATTATGTTATATTTAAAACAATAAATATAGCCCAACTAATGCTTTAAAGTGCTAAGTATAGCTACTGTTTTCATATGTTTTAGACTATACCACGGGGTAAGGAAGTCTCAAAGGAGGTCCCAGCACAAATTGTCATCCTTAGGCAAGAAAAATACAGCTATAAGCAAATTGCTGAATGCTTAGGAGTTTCTAAAACAGCTGTATTCAAGGCAATAAAAAGGGTAGAGCAGCTAGGAACGTTTTCATCACGTATTAGACCAGGACGACCTCGTAAGACGACACCAAACGATGACTGATCAATTCGGCGTGCTTGTGTTTGAAATCCTACATGGTCATTAGCAGCCATAGCCACCAATACCGGTGTGGGACTAAGCCCCAGAACAATAAGGAGGAGCCTTACCAAGGAATGCAACCTCCCTTCTTGCTGTCCAGCAAAAAATTCAAACCTAACTCCCAAGAATATTAAAGACAGATTGGCTTTTTTTAATCACTACAAAAACTGGACTGTTGATCAGTGGCGCAGGGTTATGTTTTCCAATGTTAGAAGACCAGTCAATCAGCGCTACAATATCAGATATGTAGAAAAATGTTAAAATTCTATTTGTATAGCATTATGTACAAACAAGTTTAGTTTGCAGGTAGTATATAGAACAATCTATATAATATATGTATAATGTAAGAAACTTTTTAAAAACAATTTTTTTTGCTATATATATTTAAAGTAGCGGCAATATTAAAAAATGTATGGACAGCGTACTGAGCTAAAGAAGATATAACACTTTTCAAGGCGGTTCTCTAAGTAATTGCAACTTTATTTCATATGTAAATTAAATAATAAAAAGCATATATACTTTATGCAAATGTATAAAATACACTTATAAAACGATATGTATAAACATCTGTAAGTCAAGTTAAATAGGTTAAGTTTACAGATTGAATGTAGATCGATTTTATAAAAAAAAAAATAAAAAAAAAAAAAAAAAACGCAAGTAAAAAATTTTTATCTTTTTATTGTTTTATAGTATTTTATATTATTCCACAAAAAATTATGTCTAATTTATCTAGAAGATAAAGAACCACAAATAAATGAGTCATAATCTTTATATTTGATTTAAATTATAACACTTTTGAGGCAAAAAACTTTTGAGGCACTATTTTTCTACAACTAACTTGTCAATAACAATTTCACTTTATGTTACTTTTTATTAGTTTAGTTTTATCAAAGGAATACAAAAAACATATACTCCTGATTCCATTCTCTGTATTCTCCTATTTGTCCTTTTATGTAATACTGTTATCTTTTTTTTTTTTTTTCATTTAAAATAAAAAAAAAGGCAATTATAAATAAACAACTGCAATCCAAATGAATTCTGTTAAATTCATTTATTTAAATTTATGTATTTTTGGTCGCTTTTTAAGCCTTCTCACTGTGCGTCGTAATGAGTTTTGTTTTATAAAAAATACATTCTGAAAAAGCAAAACAATACGCGATGGAAAAGTTTTTTGTTTAATTACAAGTTTAAAAATATAAATTAATTTAACTTGCCATGACTTTTTTAATAAATATCTGTTTAAAAATCAGACAAAAAACTTTTTAGTAGATATCTATTTGAAAATCAAGAACTTTTTAATAATATAGTATAGTCTTGCATAATAATCCCAGTTAGTATTTATACGTATGTAAAAATAAAATTGTAAACTAATGGCAAGAAACACACAGTAAAAAACATAACGCTAAAATAAGAGTAACATAACGGTAAACAAAAATTTTGGTGTTATGTTTACCGTTATGTTAAGTTGAAATTATGTTGAAAATTTTTTTTACGCATAAATGGTGCCTAAATCATTAGTATGGTAATTAGTATTTGTAAAGCATTATGTTTAACCATTATGTTAAACAGATTATTTTACCAGTAAAAAATAGCGCAAATTTAAAGGGATCCCTAAGTGCTCCTAACATATGATCTCATATGAAAGAGCATAAAAAAAAAATATGTAAGTTTTTTTTCTTTTTCACTAAATTGTAATAATAAATGCATGCTAACAAAAAGCAATTGCCGAAATCACTGAAAAACAACTCCATTTTGATTTTATTTTTTCACCATTGAAACTCGATTGTTAGTCGTTAAAAATCACATTAGTACGTCACAACAACTTTAAAATATCTACTTCGATTTTCAAGTAAAAAAAAAGTCGTGATTAAATAGTTAAGTTTTAATCAAGTTTTTTTAATTAGTTTTGCAAAAACAGTATAATATCATTCGGTTGAAAGACGTCGTTAAAAAAAAGCTATTAAGTAATAGTTTTTAATAGTTTAGAACTTATAAAAAAGTCTTACAGGGCTCGTATTAAGCATATCGCGATCGCGATTGCTTTTCACACTTTTGTGATTAGTTTTTTCTTAAAAAAAATCTTTTCGCGATTTGTTTTTTTTTTGGTTGTTTAATTACTTTTTTTCTAGCTTAGCATTTTTTTTAGCAATCCTTAAAAGTTTTTATCATAAAGAACGTCATACAAAATATATTATTCTGAATAGATTTGCTCTTTCGCGCGGAGATTTTCTTTCAACGTTAAATATTTTTGAATTTAAATTACTTTAAATCTCTGCGTGGAAAATTTTTACTAGGTCGTTAAAGCGAAAAGTTGAAAAGTTGGTTTTTATCTTTGTTTATCAAAACTTCATGTTTAAAATAAGGCTTAAAAACGTTAGAGCAAAAAAAATACTGACTTTTATTTGCATTTTTATACTGTTTGAAAAAAAAAACTAATAAAAAAGAATTAATTGTTATTATTATTAATTCTAATAATTATTAATTAATATATTATTAGTTAATTCTTTTTTATTAGTTTTTTTTTTTCAAACAGTATAAAAATGCTAATAAAAACCAGCAATTTTTTTTACTTTAACGTTTTCAAGCCTTATTTTAAACGTGAAGTATATTTCGATTTATTTAACCAAATTTTTTTGTTTCATCTTTTATTGGAAAACTTGAAATAGAAAAATTGAAAAAAACATCAACCATTTAAATGAAAAACTTAATTATATTTAAACTTTTATTAGTCCTTTATTCAAGAAATAATAAATTATAAAAAACGTGGTATATAATTTTTTATTAAGTTTTTGACGATGTTTTTTGATTTATTGACGATAATTCCCCCCCCCCCCCATTCACGCACATCGGCGCGACCTATAAGAGAGAGAGAGGGGGAGGGGGAGAGAGAGCAATTTTCACAAGATGAAACTAAATGTTTTTTATTATTCCTTTTATGTTTTTAATATTTACATTAATAATAAATTTTTAGCTTAACAGAATCCCTTTTGATGGTGAAATTAAACAAACTCTAAATAATTTTTTTCTGCCTCACATAAAACTATTTCTGAGTACGTCTTTGATACTATAATATTTGTTTTTATTAAAATTTGTAATATTTATAATTTTAATATACATTTTTGATTTCCGTCCTTTTCCATCATTTTTATATTTTATGTCAGATTTTCAAATTTGCTGCTGCATACATAAATTGTTTGATTGAATTTATTTAATTAAAGTTTTTAATTTTCTATTAGGATTTCTTGTTTAAAAAGTTGCCTAATAATTACCGACAAAGACAATTAAGTAAATGTCGCAATTTAAAGGTGAAGCAATTTCCTCATTTTTCTGTTGTAAAAAGTTCCATCAATAGTAGCAACTGAACAGTAAATCCAATTTTGTCCAAATCAGTTGAAGATAAAGAACAGCTATTACAAGATGTTGTAGTAAGATTTTTTTCTGTGTTTATTAATTTTGGGATAAAAATGATTTCTAATTCTAATAATTATAATCTAACTAAGTAAGACACAAAAAATTTAGAAATATTATAATTAATATTTATTAATATTAAAGGGACTACCAAGTCCCGAAACATGTTGTGTTCATATTAAAGAGAATGTTAAAAAAAAAACATCTGAGCAAATTTTTTTTGATTAAAACTAATAAATAAATGTATACCAAGAAAAACAAATCTTGTTATTTTAGTCGAAGCTCGTCTTCTCCATTTTCTGCGGTATTTTGAGTATGTAAAATAAACGCGATTTTCTAGGCGAATTATACAGACTTGATAATTTATTCAAGCGTGTTTAATTCATAGGAGTTTTAGTGCATGATGTCATAGATTTTTTTTTGTTTGTTTAAAACACCGATTGTTATTTTTTACATACAATTTCCAAATCATATTCATTTTTATTATATTTTAAAGTTCTAAAATGTGTTTATAAAACAAAATTAAAAACAAAATAAAATTAAAAACAAAATAAAATTAAAAACAAAATAAAATTAAAAACAAAATAAAATTAAAAACAAAATAAAATTATAAATAAAAATAAAATAAAAAATAAGATAGTATTTTATTTGCGCAACTTTTTTTAAATAACCGTCTAGACCACGTGTATTTTGATTTCTTTTGTTATGTTTTTCTTTCAAAATATTAGATAAAATAATTTTTAACCTAAATAATAATGCACTTTTATTAATTTACTTTGTAAATATTAAAAAAATATATATTAATGCATATTTTCTCTGATTTTCAAAAATGTATTTTTTGGTATTGAGGTGATCTTATTTCATTATTTATATTTCCATTATTATAACATCTAATATATATTATGGCAGAGGCATTAAAATTAAAAAATTAATATATATTAATTTTTATTTTACAGACATACATGGAAACATAATTAACTTAAATGTTCTTAAAACATCTTGCGGAAGAATAAAAAGAATATTCACAAACACTAAAAACCCACCAAATTTGCGAACAAACTAATTGTATTGATTCAAAAAATACGCTGAAATATAGTTCTAGAGTAGTCTGTTGAAATATTTTAGGAATTGTATTATTTATGATTTGTTGCGTTTTGAGATATTTAGCATAAATTTGTTTAAGAATGTATTATCAAATAAATTATAACTTTAATATTATGGCTCATTCTCAGAGCCACATCTAATTTAATATTATGGCAAATATTATCTCAAAGCCGTAAATCTTTTAAACTATTATCATTTGTTTACAAAAATAAATGTTTTATAATATATATTTTTTAAATTGTCAAAATTTTGAAAGTTAATTACAAATTATATATTTTATTAGTATATTCTTAATTTTTATATCTTTTCTTAGTGCTTGGTTTAATTAATTGTTCGTTAGATTAAAAAACTAACGAACAATTAATAAAATAAACTTTTAATAAAATAAGTAACTATAGTTAGCTATTTTAGTAAAATTTAATAGTAAAATTTTTAAAGAATTTCTTTAATGTTTCCAATGACGTCATGCACTAAAACTCCTACGAATTAAACACGCTTGAATAAATTATCAAGTCTGTTTAATGCGCCTGGAAAATCGTGTTTATTTTACATACTCAAAATACCACAGAAAATGGAGAAGACGAGCTTCGACTCAAACAACAAGATTTGTTTTTCTTGGTATACATTTATTAATTAGTTTTAAATAAAATTTGCTTAGACGTTTTTTTTTTACATTCTCTTTAACATGAACACAACATGTCTTGGGACTTGGTAGTCCCTTTAAGTACATCTTATTACTTTATTTTATTAAATAGCTATAAATAAAGAATGTATATAACTCTTTCTTTCACCTAGAATGAATTTAATAAGAAAAAACCATTGCTTTCAACACTGTCTATTCTAAACAGACATCTTTTTAATAACGAGACTTATAGTGTATTACCAAAAGAGTTACATATGCTCCTGGATTGATGCTGGAAGAAGCGATTCATTTGTACCCTATTTTTAAAGACTCATCCTTTAAGATTTAAAAGATGTTGGTTTGAATTTCTCCTGATTTGCAAACCCATACTGAAAGTTTAATGCTGCTCCAAAAATCACTTATTTCTAAGAAGACAATTATTTGTTTTTTTATTTGTTTTTTTAATTTAGTATTGTATGCCAGTTTTTATTTGTTTTTTTAATTTGGTATTGTATGCCAGTTCTATAAAATATAAACTTAACATTGATTCAAACCCATTTAAATGTATAAATAATAGTTTCTTTTTTTATGGTTGTAATACTTATTTTGTATTTAAAATATTTTAGTGTGATTTAATACATGAATACTTAAGAGTGCCAAGTTGTATGGTCCACAAGTTATCTATAATAAAACGGAATATAGACTAAGGAGACGTAGAGGTGTCGAGGTGGATGTTCAGCCTTTGATCAGTTTATGTGAAATGGTGGTTGTTTTGATGGCCGTTTACTATTTGCTAGATTTGACATATCCTTCTTGTTTTGGGCAGCTTTTGGGATGTTTGCAAGATATTTGCAGCTTGGATAATCGGCTTTACTATCTAAAAAATGCATTTTTCTTTTGCAATCTTTTAATAGCAATGTGAAGTATTATTGAATTAATAAATGTTGATCAGTTCATTTTTTTAATTAGTTTGTAAATAATTTTAGCCTTACATTAAGACCAATTATTAACAAAACTTTAGGTAACAATTGCTGCGACAATAAAACTACATGCTGTAAAAATAAAATAAGGATATGCGCAGAATTCAACGAAGTCAATAAGAAAATATACTTTTAGATATATATGAAAGCCGAAAACAGAAATACATACATAAAGAATGAAAACTTTTAATTCTTTAGGTTTATATATATTTTTTGAACGCCAAGGCCAAGACATCCAAGGTCAAGGCCAAAATTTATAAGGCCAAGACCAAAAGTTTTAAGGCCAAGACCAAAAGACCGAGACCAAGACCTTAATTTTTGTCCTTAAGGCAAGACCAAAGCCTAGACAAAGGCCAAGGACTAAAAAATCTGCTCATAACCATTCAAAATTCTAATTCCTAATATTGATATAGAACATTGATATAGAACATTAATTTTCACTTGTGAAAATGTTCTCTTAAGATAGCATAAATCATTCTGCAAAATATTTAAGTTATCAATAACAAACTGAAAGGTAATTTAAGGCTATTATCAGATTATTGACAACTAAGAGATACTATTTAAAAAAACAAACATTTTTTTATTATTTCTATAACTTATAAGAGAATCGATTGTTCTTTTAAAAATAGCGAGTTAAAAACTGTACCTGTATTCCTATTCCTCTGATATCTTGTGCAATAACAGTGAATAAATGCAAGAGTTGGAGACAGTAACGAGATATCAATTCAGAACTATTAGTTGGGCTCGAAATCATGATTGATTTGCTAACATTATCACATAAACCATGGCCCATGTATTTCAAAGGATTTCCTTCCCCTTTTTGACGAATCATCATCTAAAAAAATTTTAATTTATTTATCAAAAAGAGAAAAAAAAAAAAGAAAGAAGAAAAATTAGATTTAATAGGAAAAAAAAACATTTGAGACAATCATTTAAAGATATAAAAATTGGCTACAATTTTCAAAATAAATTGGTGCTCAATTATTAAAAAAAATTATTAAAAAAAAATAGTATTTCATAGTTAAAAAAAAAAAACAATTTGCATATGAAATAAAATAAAAAAATTATAAAAGTATGAAAGTTTTAGAAAAAACATAAGTTAAATGAAATTTTTAAATGTTGAAAAAAATATTTAAAGAAAATAATTAAAAAGACTCTGAAGATACTAAAAACTAGTATCTTCATAATTGTAGATGCACAGAGATCGCACTTGTTTTTCACACGTTTTTCATTTTGCAATTAGTTTTTTCTTAGAAAAATATTTTTGCGATTTTTTTCTTTTCTAATATATCTTTTTTTTTTTTTTTTTTTGACCATTATTTAAAAAAATATTTTTGTCTAAGTTTTTTAATAGGGTTATAAAGTAAGTCGTGCTAAACTTGTCTTTTGAATAGAAGTATGATCACTTGCTCTCTTGCACTGAGATTTTCATTCAACATAAAGTGCTTTAAAACTTAAATTACTTTAAATCTCTGCATATAAGCAAATACAATTTTTAAGTTTGATTTACTTAATGGTATAAAAAATAATTATACAAATTATAGTAATAGTAATAAGTATGTTTACAATAATTACTATGAAAAATTAATAATAATAACTAATATTAATATAATAATAAGTTAATGATTTATTAGGATGGTGTCAATTTTTAATAAGTAATAATAAGCAAAGAAATTAATATTGTTTAAGATAGAGTAAAGGTATTTTAGGATATATTTTTTTGGACTCATTCAAAATGCATGCAAGGCTCCTGTTCCATTCACAGACGCACTGATAAACAATAGAATGTTTACCATGCTTCTGGGTTTTAAAAGATGGTACATTTAGAACATTTACAACAACCTACAAGCCTCCACTATGTTTCAATTCATGGTCCAATTGAACAAGACTAAGCTATAGTATCTGGCTGATACATTCTCCCAGTTGTGGCCATAAAGAGGGAGGTTGTGAAGCATGAAGAGTGGAGGCTGTAACATTCCCCTAGTTGTGGATATAAAGAGAGATCTCTAATGCTACAATTTCATAACCAAAACACATAGTTTCAACTTGAATTAATATTTCTCTGAGTATTATAAAGTCATCTGAAAACAAATACAAAAACAATTTAGATACTGATTTTGAACATTGAAAGTTATCAATTTTTTTAGTCTTTGATAGATACTTGACTAATAAAGTTTTTGTTAACAATTGCTCTGTCATTTTTATTCCTATCTTTTCCTACCAGCAAAATTCCCACATTTTCTAACAACACTATTCCTGCATTTTCTATTTTTTTTAGTATTTTTTTTTAACATTTATTGTTACTCCTAAACTGATATTTGGATGACAATATCTTACCAAACACAGATCATAAAATTCAAACTATAAACTAAAATAAATAAAAAAATGCATTTCCAAACACAGATCATAAAATTCAAACTATAAACTAAAATAAATAAAAAAATGCATTTCAAATAGGAAAAATAGTTATCTTCAGCAAGTTTCAATATGTTGTGAATTTTCGTGCTATTAATTACGTTAATGGTGCTATTAATTACGTTACTATTAACAAGGTTTTATTAAAACGAGGTTTTATTATAAATAAGATAAGTTTTAATAAAACCTTGTTAAATAACTTAAGTAGTGACCAAATGCTTTTATATAAATATAGTATTTGAATTGCTACTGGAAGCTTAAGCATCATTGATTCACCCCTTATAGTATTTTTAAGTGATCTAGCAAGGATTGATACAGAATTTAGATATGCTAAAGTGAAATTGCTATTTAAGTTTAAATTTTTTTCAACATTTTAAAATTTCATTTAACTTATGTTGTTTCTAAAACTTTGATACTTTTATAAATTTTTTTTTTTTAACTTCATATGCATATTGCTTTTTTCTAACTATGCAATACTATTTTTTTTAAATAATTTTTTTTTATTGAGCACCAATTTATCTTGAAAATTGTAGCTAACTTTCATACCTTTAAATGATTGTCATGAATGTTTTTTTTTCCTATTAAATCTAATTTTTCTTCTTTCTCTTTTTTTTTTCTCTTTTTGATAATTAATTGTATGCTAGTAATTTGGGCATTCAAATAATTTTAAAATAATTTAGTTAATTATATACATATAACTGTATCGACAATTATCAATATAGTTATTTACCTTATGTAATTTGTTGTCAAAAAGTTATTTAAATTGCATTTGACTGAATTATCTATTATTGGTTTTAAACAAACTCAAATTAGAAGAAGTAAAGCTTTGATTGAATTAAAGAGTTCATTAAATGTTCCAGTTGAGTTGACTTCATCACAAAATGATAAAAAAATGCACAACATATTAATGGGAAGCTTTAGACAGAATTATATGTCATTACATCATCATTACATCATTATTACATGTCATGAAGATTTAAAAAGTCAAGAAGACAAATATTTTAATTTTTAAATTAAAATATTTGTATATTAAAGGAAAATAATCACATTCTTTTAACACATTTTTCTATTTGTTTATGCTATGTAGCATCCAGTGACTATTTGTTTATGCTATGTAGCATTAAGCGACCATATTATAACTGGGTTATAAATACAGAACATATAGTTTCAGAAAATATGAAAATCTTTTGATCAAATGGTGAAGAAACAGGCTATTGTTTATTTACATTCAAAATCATCTTTTCATAATGATAAGATAATCAAGGTATAATATCTAAACTTTTTCAAGTAAAAAATTATATATTTTTTTTTTAACAACAAAAAAAACTCATAAAACCGAATAACACTGGGTTAAGCAAAGTTTTTTTTGAATTAATAAAGTTTTTATAGTTTCAATTGTAGCTGCTTTATTTTAGAAAACATATTTTATTTTGTCAAAATATGATTAAATAGTTACTATAAAAAGCTGGATATACTTCACCCACACTTCTCCATTAAGGGAATAACTTTTTAACAGTGTCTCAATATTGTAAAAAGTTTCTCATTAAAAATATTTTGTACAAAATTTGATAAAAAAATACCACTGCACCAACAACACTACTAATGCATAGATTACATTTAATTAACAGTTAAAGTATTTTAAAATACCTTTAAAGTGATAAGTTTTCCTTTCTTTTCAGCCTCTGTTAATCGAACTTCAACTTGCTTTGAAAGTTGGTCAATAAACTCTTCAACTTCTTTCATCTATATACATTTATATACATGCACACATTTATATATATATATATATATATATATATATATATATATATATATATATATATATATATATATATATATATATATATATATATATTCCTACATATACATATATACATACATACATACCTTTGTTTCTATGTGCATCGGCCTTGTTTGTCAAGGTTTGTGTTTCCGAGTTATAGTTTATAGTTATAAGAGGGTTGTAACAACAATAATAGTAACTTACTTGACTATAGTGGCCTTCTCGGCTTTAGGGGAGGTAAATTAAAATAAAAAATATATATATTCAAATTTGGCTAAGGCTGCTGCAATTATTTGAAAAGTATTTTGAAACCCTATTATTTTTAGAATTTTTTACATAAACTCAATTTTTTTTCTCACAAAGTTTCAAGTTTTAATTTTATATCATTTCTGCAACTTAATAATAATTTGCTTCAGATTGGCAACCATACCCTTGATTAGCTTTATTTTAATTAATAATAATTTGCTCAAGATTGTCAACTGTCTCCTTTATTATTAATTAAATCAATAACAGTTTGCTACAGATTGTCAGCCATATTTTCTATTAGCTCCATTTTAACTTTGTTAACTGATAATGCAATTAGCTTCGTCACTTTCTTTTACTTTTATCATTTGATCTTCGATGGTAGGGCTATCATCCCTAACAGTGGATTACCTCCTGTTGTGAATTAATTAAAATAAAATGATTTACTTTATTATACTAAAGAAAATTAGATGTGCTATTTTCATAGATTATCCTAGTTACATTTAAAATATCTGGAAAATTTTGACATTTCTGGAAAAATCAGACATTTCTGGAAAAATCAGGGAATAAAAACGCATTTTGTGTATTTAAGAATATCTCATGAGCTTGTAAAGAAAATATTTGGCAGACAAATTCTTTTTTTTATAAACTCTATTTAAGTAAGTATTAAAATACTTTTCTTTTTTTTAAAAAAAAAAAAAAAAGTGTTTTAATACTTTCTTAAAAATATAAAGTTTATAAATTAAATTAAAATAAATTAAACTAGATTCTTAGGTGAAATAGTCAAAATAATTAAAGCAATCTCTAAATGCTGAGTGTTTATATATCTATATAAAGATAATAAACTATATATCTATATATCTCCTTAAAAAATAAGTTTCATACTATTTAAATGTTCCAAAAAAAAGTATTTATCAAAACATTAGCAAAAAACTTGTTAACACCATTTCTTTTTCTTGAAGGTAAGTTCCGGATCTTTGGTTTTTTAAGAATAAATACTGGTGTTATAAACACTTTTGTAGTAGACATCAAACAAAAAAGCTCTTTTAACTCGAGTTATAAAGATTATATTTGGGTTTTGCAATTATTTTTTATGTAGATCAATGCTTTTATGTATAACCACTTATAAACCGAATAAAAATAACAATATCAATAAGTAAACGCTTTAAAAGTCTAACTTATATTTGATTTATTTTAAAAACAAAATCAATATTAGTGCTATAGATATAAGATATGTAAATTTCAAAATTATGATACAAGTTTTACTGATAAAATCTTAACACCAAAATAACAAAATACAAAAATAACAATTTTTATTTGGATTTATTAAGAAAATAGTGCAAACAAATTTGATTGCATGGTAAATGAAAACGAAATATTTTAATGGAAATAAATATAAAACAAAGTAGAAAAGCAGTATTCTTTGTTTAATTACAATTTATTTTGTCAAAAGTCCCCAGTTGAACTAAAATGCTAACATTTTTTAAAGGGGAAAACCCTAATCTAATAATGAAATTGTTCGAGAATTGTTCAAAAAACTCTGCAGTAAGTACATTTATTATTAAAACCAGATATTTTACAACGAAAAATATTAAGTTTTTATTAATCTTTAATCCAGAAGTATAATGGCAAAACAATAAATGCTTTTTTGTTAATATCTCAATAAATAAATTGATTTGGCAATTTAAATTTAAAAAAATTATTTTATAATTTAAATACATACATACATTTTTTAATAGGCCGGGTAAATCAAAAAAAGCAATTGTTTTTTTTAGCGTTTTTCGAGTAATTGCTCAGCTCTTTGTGAATAAAATTTTTATTCACAAAAGCTGAACAATTACTTAAACTTGTCATGGCACTTGGGAATTCTTATAATAATAAATAAATGAACAAATATGAAAAAATCATTTGTACAAATAATGCCTCACCTGAGTAAAATATAGCATAATATAATTGATGAATAATACTTTTACTGTTTTAATTATATGATCAAAAAAATTTTTAAACTTTTCCAGAAAATTATTTGGATATCCGGAAAAAATAAAAATTTATAGAAATATCTGGAATTCTAAAATTATCCGGAAAAAGATAATCCCTGTATTTTTCCCTTATAGAGAAACCAATTTTGCTTCATAAAGTTATAATTTTTTTTTTATTCAAACAATTAAATGTTAGATTTAGGTGGCAAAAAAAATTCAGAACAAAATAATTTAGAATTAAATGGAACAAGAAATATTAAAAAAAAATTAAAGTTAAAACTTATTTAGAATTAAAATTTATTTTATTTGATTTCACCCTTTAACTGCAATAGAATATATATATATATATATATATATTTTAATCTTTTATTTTTTAAAAAAGATAAAGACTTTTAGAAAAGTCTTTGCAAACTTAATATCTTTTAGTGCTTAATTATCAACTTCACATTCACTTCAGGAAAATAAGATGCAAAAAAAAAATTATTAAATGTTAACAATTCTTTATTATTATTTAATATTTTTATATTTTCTGGTTGTTTAGTATTTAAAAAAGCTATCTTCAATCAAAAAACACATATTTGACATTTTAATTAATTGTCTTTGAAGGACCAAAAAAATGAAAAAGAAAAATTGAATCACAAAAATATTTTGAGAAACTAAACTACTATTATTAAACGCATTTATTATTATTATACTTTATTATTACTACTACTTTTTTTATTTCAATTCACCTCATCAAAGTCATGAGAGCCACTACAGTCGAGGAGGCTACTTTAGTTGTGGTTACAACCCTCTCTCAATTCTATAACTCCGAAACATGTACCTTGACAAACAAGGCCACTGCACAGAGAAACTAGTTGACTATTATTAAAAACTAATAGTAATTTAACTAAAAAAAAAAGAATCGAAAAACTGTTTTAGAATAAAATTGGTACAAAAATTAAATAATAAAACTTATTTACAGAACTAAACCTCATTCCATAATTTATTTCTGCAGAGACACTTTTTCGTTCTTCATAAAGTTTTAATGTGCGACTGTCTTCTCCACGACAAAAATTGTACAACATTTCACCAAGCTTTTGACCAAATTCTTTTTTTAAAAAAAATAATGAAAATTTTTGAAGGTCTGCACATGTTAAGATTGATAAAGAAGACAGTTTTTCACTATAGATAGCACCAATGCCAGGAAGGTTACAAACCTTTTGACTTGCTAAAATTAAGAAAAACTTAAATCAAATAAATTAATAAATTTATTTGAATAAAAACTACCGCACATGTTAGTAAATTAAGATGCTAGTAATTAGTAGGAACCGCTGTAACCGGTAGAAAGTATTTTATCAGTGAGTATATTATAGCAATGGATCCATTTAGAACTCAGTCTCGTCAGATTTTTCTCGGTTTTTGTGAGCTTCGGAGTTGAAGAGAAATTGGAAAAAAAAAAGATTTTGGAAAAAATCATTTTGTTACTAGTAAAATAATTAAATTCTTCTTTTTTTCTATGTTGCTTTTACAATAGCTCTAAATTGTTGTTTCAAAAATGAAAGTGTTATATTCAGAAAAAAATATTTTTAATGACCTAATGTGACATCACAGTAATTTATTATTATATATATATATAATAATCTGCCTTGGTATTTTTAATATATTATAATACTATAATTTAATTTTAAAAACAAAAATAAAAAATTATATTAATTTATTTAAAAGTTAAATGTAATTTAACAGTTAATTTAAAGTTAAGTAATTTAATTTAAATGAATTAAAAACTAATATCTGAGGATTAACAGGTGACAATGGTGCAGCATCAGAGGTAGAAGTACTTTAATTTAAATGACCACAACTTCATGTATTGCTGAGGAATAGTAAAATTCCTATCTCCATGTTCTGGTGAAACATTTGAACATTTTTTATAACAAAAAAGTTAAAAGAATGTGGCTTAGATAGTGATTGCAATTAAAATTATGGGTGGCTGTAGGTGGATTGTGGTGAAAACCACAATTAAGTTTCCATATTAGACCTGCTAGAATTATTTGCTTCATTTTAGTTTTTCTTTATTTATTTGATATACACTAAAAAAGATTATCACAAAATTGTGAAATGTAAAGAAACTGAATCAGATATTGAAGCAGAAGTGATAGAAAGATTGAAGGAGAATTGTTTATTAATTATTTGGAGGAAAAAATTGAAAATGAAGAAAATATCAAAAAAACTCAAAAGAAACTTGTAGGGAGGATGCGAAGTCCTAAAAGGACTCTGCATTTGTAGCTTTATTTTTTTTTTATGGTCTCTGGTGTCCTGAAGCTTTTAACATTTTGATAGATCAATAATCTGCTATTAGAAAAAAAAGTTATGATATTTAATGACTTGGAACTAATTGTTTTTAAGCCCAGAGCCGTGGAGTCCTTGTCACCAATATACCAAGGAACCCGGGTTCAAAAATTGATAATTGTTCTGACCTATAAGTTTTGATTTTTTCCCCATTAGTAGCTAATAAGCATTTTTATATTTTTAAAGCTCCTGGATACCAAAAACTAGAAAGAAGTAATTTTTTTGTGACTTTCAAATCCAGAATCCTTTTTGGGACTTTGCATCTCTGGAAACTTGGAATAATAATTAAGTTCTTGATATGAAGTTCTAAAAGAAACATACATGAAATTTTTAGATCATTGCATGACAAAAGACTGCTGCTTGACAACCGAGCTAGATGGAACAGTGTTTTTAAAATGATAAAAAGATTTTTAGATGTTTTTTTTTACTGCTTAGAAGGTTTCAAAAAAAAAAACTTGAGGAACTAAACGAACAGCCTAAACATTTTTAATGACATTGACTTTTGTTAAAAACTCTGATTGGTGCTGCTCCAGTTCACTTGGAAAAACAAAATACAACAATTTTAGAGTGTGACATTGTTACGGAAACATTAGTTAGCAAATTGAAGATTGTAGAAACTGACATCAGTTCTAAATTTTCAGAGGTGTTAATTTCCAGATACGAAAATAGTAAAAAGATTATGTTGGTGTCCAATTTTTTTAAAAATAAAAACCACACATTTTTTCACGCTTCAAAAAAATTCAAATTAAATCTGATGTTAAATCTGAAGCAATTTTGAAATTTAAACTTTTTTTTTAAATTTAGCTGTCCACAGAATTCAAGCCATTTAATAGATATTAAAACTGAAATTTAAACTAGCTGTCCACAGAATTCAAGCCATTTAATAGATAAACCTGAAAAAAATTGTGATAAAATAATTTTTTAATTACTAAGAAATAAAAAAAAAACTGAAATTTACAATGAATTATAAATTGAAATATATAATATTAAAAAAGTAAATACAAGAACAATGTTTAATTATAATTAATAGTTTAATTTTTTATTTTATAAAGAAAACATCAAAAACTCCGATTTTTTCTTGATTCTGACAGATTTTTTTCTTGATTTATCTAAATTCAGTTTTTTCTTGATTTTGGATTCATTGGTTTTAAAATTATCATTTGGAAAAGTTATATAAAACTGCTCTTAAAAAGATTGTATTGGAAAACAATTGCTTTTGTCTGCTTGTCAAAAGCAATTGATCTCTGTGTGTCTATACACACCAACACACACACAAATATATAAAAGGCTGAAAAGATAATCACATATTGTAGATCCTGTCTGAAAAATATTAATTATACATTTTTGAGATGATTAAAAGTGATCGATAAAAATTTCAACATTATGGATATTTAAATAAAGTAATTAACTTAAAAATAAAAATAATTTTGAAACAGTCATTTTCAAAATAAACTAATGTGCAGACATTTAGCATAAAATTGAAAGAAAAACAAATGTTGAGTATGTAGACTTTTAAAAGTCAACAAATTTTGAAAGTTTGTTGACTTTTATTTCAAATGTGAAAAACGAACAAAATTGGTGATCTTATTTTAATTATTTTATTCAGAATTTAAAAAGTTTGTTTTTTTATTTTTATTTTGTTTCTTTTATCTAAAATTTTAATACCACATTTGTTTTGGTCAGGTTTTTGACACAGTTTTATTCAGAATTTAAATAAAACATTTTTTTTTAATCTGTATTTTAATTATTTTATTTAGAATTTGAATAATTAAAATGTATTATTTACATGTTTTAAAGGAATGTAATATAAAATCAGTCATGAATGTAAACTTCAAAACAAAAAGCATTATCATCAAAGATTTTAAAAAATCAAAATCAAAAAACTTTTTTTTATTATTGATTTGACACAAAATAGGGCAAAATTTAATGATGTAACAAAAATTAAACAATTAAAAAAAAAAAAAAACTTAAGAAGTCATATAGAAAATGATTTCATTTAAAAGTTAAAATTTTATTTACTTAATGTTGTCCTGATTATAACATCTTAACACTTTTATATACAATATGATAAAATCTTGGATAATAATGTAGAATTATTATAATTAACATTAATAACAATTAAGTTTAATTAACATAATAGTAATTAATATTTTTTTTTTTTTTTTTTTTTTAATTCACCTCCTCAAGGCCGAGAAGGCCACTACAGACGAGGAGGCTACTTATTTGTGGCTATAACCCTCTCTCAACTCTATAACTCCGAAACACGAACCTTGACGAACAAGGCCGCTGCGCGGAGAAACAAGTTGAGCGCGGTACTACCAGGGACGTGGTGGGGATTGAACTCGGAACCACTCGTTTATGAAGCGAGCGCTCTACCACTACACCACTACCGCATATATCATCCCACTTTAAACTAAGTGATAAACCTTATTATATTTATCATTGCTAAATAGAGGTCATTTATTATTTATTATCTATTGGTCATTAATATATTTAAGAGTGAACTACATTCAAGTTACACAAAAAAAGCTTCAGTTAAGGAAAAAAAGATATATATATAACATTTAAATAATTAACTATTTAACATAGTAGTAATTTGTATAACATCTCTTTTAAACTAATAAAGTATTAAATCCTAAAAGAGATTTTTGAAAAAAAACAGCCAGTTGTAGAGGTAAATTACTTTGGCAAATAACCAACAATATTGAAGGTTCGAATTTAACCTCAAAAATCAAAAACAATACACAACTTGTCTAAACAAGAATTTTAAAACACTTCCTTAAATATTTTATAACATTTAGACATTTTTTGATATGCAATTTCAGCATTGAAGTGGTAACTGAAAGCTCTCCCACCAATTCATAAAAACAAAATAAATATGTAAAATAAAAACTATGCTATAAATAAGAAGATGAAATGACATAATTATGGTAGTAAAAATATAATATAATAAAAAATATAAGTATGGCAATTTTTTTTTATATAAATTTTGTTCAAAAAAAAAATTTTGAAATTTTAGAAATGAAAATATAACAGACTGCCCCGGGGTTATGATTAATTATTTTATACTTAAATATAATGGCCAGCTGATCATCAGACTTGATGTATTATTTATTGAAAACATGCAAAAAAGGATGCATCAATCAACAATAAAAAAGTTTTTACTAAATAGCTGATGTGTCATACCAGAATATTAGAAATAAATACATTTTTACATTTGAGTTAGGTTTGCTACAAAATGTCATAATCTTGTCTCTGTAATTTCAATCTTGCCTCTGATACTTCAACTTTGTCTAAATAAATATTATCTACTTTAATATATATTGCTGCTGTGATAATATATGACATCATGACATTGATTTAGTAATTGCAATGATGTGATATATTTTAAACATCTATATGAGAAGGTGTGACCATTAAGTGTATCATTCAATGAATAAAAATATAAATTTTAAAAAATAAAAAATTTTAAAAATTAATAACCAATAAATTCAGGAACATCACATTTTTGGATGTAGCAAACACCATTTGGTTTGGCTTGTTTAGTAGCAAGCTTTGCTAACAAAATATTCTCACCAATTCCACATGAAGCAGTGCACTTAGTTTCTTCAAATATATCTTTTCTAATTTTTTCAGCAAGATCATAAACATCTCCTGAAATATTATACAATATACAATAGTATAAAATAAATAACATTTGAATTCTGCATCATTGATAATGTAAAAAATGAACATCAAATACAACAACTTAATACTTTACATAAACAAGTAAGTTTGAAGCATAAATAAGTTCAAAATTCACACAAATATTCAAATTCCAATATTCACACAAATAAGACATTAAATTAAAACCCAAAATAAAGTCAGATGTTATTAAAAAAAAATCTTCTTATTTTAAATACAACATATCCAAATTTTCTTATTCAAAACTTCTCCAAATCTTTTTCAATATTTCAAAAGGATTCAAATCTCAATAGCTGTATTTACTCACTACTTCACACAAGTACACAGTATACTTCACAAAACTACACAGTGAACTAAAATCATTATTAGCTGGACAAAAGTCTTTGAAAATATCTATCAGATTACTCTCACCTACTTAATAAACGGTTGGGAAGGAGGTGGTGGAAGTGGTCATTAATTTTTCATAAATTTCTCGACTCGAGAGCTTATTAGGACCTCCCTCCCCCCCCCCAAATTTATTAATTTTGAAGCAATAAAAAATAGTTTAGTTATTTTTTTACTTTTAAAAATAAATTTTTTTTACTCAAAAGTAAGTCCCTATTATAGATGAAAATGATAAGAACCAACCAAAAAACTTATTTTCATTTTAAGTTTTTTTAAATTTTAAATTTTAAACTTCTTTTTATTTTAAGTGTATTTGTTTAGAAGAATGGCTAGATACCCAATGATGGCTAGATACCTAAAAAATTACTCATTTTTGCCTTTTTCTATAGAGTTCCAACTTTTAGAAACTAATGTATAACTCAAAACCAAAACTAATGTATAATTTAAATTTAAAACAAAAAATAATAATAAAAGCTATAACCTATGAAAATAATTTTATTTGCTGAGGGTTTATAGCAATAGTTCATAAAATTTTTTATTAAAGCTCACTTATCTATGTAGCTCACTATCTATATCACTATGTAGCTTGCTTATCTATATTACTATGTAGCTCGCTTATCTTTATCACTATGTAGCTTACTTATCTATATCACTATATAGTTCACTTATCTATATCACTATATAGCTCACTTATCTATATCACTATGTAGCTTACTTATCTATATCACTATGTAGCTCACTTATCTATATCACTGTGTAGCTCACTTATCTATATTACTATGTAGCTCACTTATCTATATTAACTAAATTTTCTTTTTAAAAAAATTTTTCTTTCATGCAATTAGATTTATAAAATACTTCTTAAAGTGTATGTTGAATTAAGAATACAAATAAATTTGTGTATTTACAATAAATAGAAATAAACTAAACACCATTTTGAATAACTAAATATCAAAACAATGCAATAACAATTTACAATCAGTTATTAAGTGAGATTTACTTGAGTAGCTCACCAAGTAGAGCATCATTTAAAAGATAATTTTTCATAGGACAATGGAATGTTCCTATTGGGAAAGATAAGGGGATGTTCTTAAACTACTTATAAAAAGGTCATAAAAACATGTGTAACAAATGTTTGTTCCTAATCTAAAGAAAAAAAAAGGAAGAAACAAAGAAAAAATTGCTCTAACTCTTCCAATAAGTCATTTAAATAAAAAATAGAACTATGGAAATTTTCCCAAACCCAAAACGAAAATTTGATTTAATTTTTTTTTCTTATAAAAAAACATTTTTATTGGGCATTATATTTCAAAAATGCTAGAAACATTTTTCATTATGCTAATCTAAATTTTTCTTTTAAATATATTTAAAAATAATTATTTATTTCTAATTCATAGAAACTTTAAAATGTACATAAACAACATGTAAACTATATAACTATAAGCAAACATAAGCTATGTAACCTAGGCTGCATAACAGACTGAGTAACATAAAAAAATATATGTTATATAACATAAAAAGACATAAGACAAAAAATAACTTTAAAAACCTGCAATATGTGTAATATCTAATAATGCTTCATCACAGCTAACAGCTTCTATCTCACAAGTATAACTTGAAAGGATTTTATAAACTTTTTGTGATACTTTTCGGTATTGGTCAAAATGATAGGGTACGCATATAAGATTTGGACATAATGATTTGGCTTTATTTAACATCATGCCATTTTTCAAACCGAAACAACGAGCTTCATAACTGCAAGATGCTATACTTGAATAAGAATCTGAGGATCCTAAAAATAAAAAATATATTAAAAACTTTTGCAAAATTTGATAAAAAAATTTTTTTTTGCTTTTTTGCTTAAAAACCACGGTCCCTGGTTACAAAAATACTTCATGGTTACAATAATATAAAAAAATTCTGTTTCAAAAACATTAATTCCAAACCTCTATTGTTGACTTGTACTTTATTTTACATTTTAAAGTTTCTACGACTAAAAGATAAACAACTACTTTAAAAAAATTTTTAATGTAATAAAAAATATTACAAACAAAAATATTATAAATATTACAAAAAAATTATAAATAAACATATTGTCTATTTACAAGAAAAAGAATAAAGTACAAGTCAATAATAAAATGATGATAATGATGATTATGATGATGATGATGGTGGTGGTGGTGGTGATGGTGGTGATGGTGAACCACAAAAAAATAAAAATAAAAAAGGTAACCATTAGACTTATTAGCATGACACACAGCAATTGCTTTTCCTTTAAGACTTTGATCAATTGTTTGAGCAACAGAAACAAAGAACGAATCCATGTCAACATGCATAATTAATCGATTGAATTTTTTTCCAACAATTTCATTATTAAACTGTTTCCTTTTCTTTTGGATGTCTATAGTAAATTTCTTTAACTCTGCTTTCCACATTGATAGATGATGTAAACGAGAATGAGAATAATATTCTGATATAAAATTTGGATCACCTGCTTTACAAGGTAATTTCTTTGTTTCATTTACACTATAATCATGCTTAGACAAATGTGGAATGCATCCATTCTCATTCTTCAAATGTGGAATACATCCATTCTCATTCTTCAAATGTGGAATGCATTCATTCTCACTCAAACATTTTCCAGTTTTGGGAACTATGATATGACTTTGTAAACTTTCTGGGGTTTTCTTTGCATCAAAATTAAACTTTAGTTCAGTTCCATCGCGTTTATTTGTTGAGTAAAGCAAGTATTTGTCAACTGGTAGTAATTTTCCGGCACTAACACTAAATAATAATTTTAAAACATAAGCAAAGGTGTCTTTTTAACTTTAACTGAAGGAATATATATTAGTTGAATAATTTAAATAACTGAAGGAATATATATTAGTTGAATAATTTAAATAACTGAAGGAATATATATTAGTTGAATAATTTAATTAACTGAAGGAATATATATTCGTTGAATAATTTAATTAACTGAAGGAATATATATTAGTTGAAAAATTTAATTAACTGAAGGAATATATACTAGTTGAATAATTTAATTAATGAAATCTATAAAAATGCAGTGATATAAATTTCCAAGATCTCTAGTTGAATAATTTAATTAATGAAATCAAGACTTTATTTTTCAATTATAGCTTTTGGTTTTAAAATCTCATTTCATCAAATTTATATTTTTTCTGATCTTGTAACAACAATATAGGGTTGTTTCCACACCTTCCGTGAGTCGACACTTATCGTAGGTTTTAAATACTAACATAAACTTTACAAAAAGTAGTTATTTTTTATTTATTTTTATATTTTGTTTATCAACAACATCATCATGCACTTCTATTACAATACATAGAAACCGCAATACATAGTTACTTATATGAAATCAGTGGGTTTATTACATCAGCCTATGAAATTACTTTTTTTTTAAGTAGCAGCTGTTAGAAGCGTTTCAAATAAAACAAGGAAATTTACGAAGATAACAGAAAATTTTATTTCTAAATTGATTTAATTGGGTAAATAAAACATAGGTCATTATTAATATTAAAACCACTCATCATTATAGTATCAATGTAGTATTTTTGAATGTACGATAAGTATGAACTAAAAAAAATGTAATTCCATTCATATCGTATGTCCAATGGATAATCAATTTGTTTCTTTTTTACTATAAAAATAAAGATTATTTTACTTAAAATAAAGATTATTTTACTGAAAATAAAAATTATTTTACTTAAAATAAAGATTCTTTTACAATGGAAGACAAAAATATAAGACCAAATTTTGTAGCTCAAAACGAAGACTTCAATATGCAGATAGTCAATTACGTGATGCTATTAATGCTGTTAAAAAAGGTATGGTCGTGTACAAAGCAAGCAAGACGTTTAGAATTCCTTGTCAGATGCTTCGTGATAAAATATCTGGAAGAACTTCTTTGTAGATACAACACTGTGGATATGAATCGGTACTAGGTGAACAAATTGAAAACAATTTAGTCGAGTGGTTACTAGCATGCACCAGAATGAGATTTACCATGTCAGCAGTACATCTATTAGATACTGTGCAAAAATATTTGAATTCCAACAATATAAAAAACATAACTTACTAACAACCGTCCTGCAAAAGGTTGGTTTTATGCATTTCTTCGTCGTCACAAACGAGGTGAATATCTAAACTGAGCTAGAGGAGAAGTAACTAAAAAAGCCATAAGAGATTGGCTTACTGAAATTCCGAAGCTTTTAGGAGAAAATGCTCAATATTTAAATGATTTTCAGTTTTCACCAAAAACTAATTTATTAATTGGTGAACGAGGAAAAAATACAGATGAAGAAAGTGCTCAATGTGATAAAAAAAGCACCACCACTTTATTTGCAGTAAATGCCAGCAGAACTTTTGCTCCATCATTAACAACTTTTAAATATGTTCGTCTGCCAAATAGAATTATAAATGCTGCTCCATCAGGATGGGGTATTAAAAAAAGTGAAAATGGTTGGATGACTGAAGAACGCATTTTTGAGCATATTACAAATGCTTTTCATCCATTTTTGATAAAAGAAGAAATTCCTTTACCAGTTATAATTTTTTTTTATGGTTATGCCTCACGTTTTTCTACCGAACTTAGTGAGTTTTGCTCTAAAAATAATTCTTGTTGCTTTGTTCCCAAATGCAACACATATTTTGCAGCCGCTCGATATGGCAGTTTTTAGGCCAATGAAAGCAAAGTGGAAATCTTTTTGCTGACAATGGCGCATTGACAATGAAGGACAAGAAATAAACAATGAAAATGTACCAGAAGCATTAAATTCTTTTATAATCGATCCTGATCCTTCTATGGCAAATAATATTAAAAGTGATTTTTAAAACATAGGCATTTTTCCATTTGATGCTAATAGTGCTGACTACAAAAAAATTGTTCAAAAATTATGAGTCAACTGTTGCTCCGGCTCCTTATTTAAAAGAGAACCATTCAAGTGTGACTTTATCAGCTTCCTCTCCCATTACCTTTATTAAAAAGTGCATTGATTTAAGTATTTTAGAGCAGTTTAAAATGGCTGCTGAACATTTAGGTTGGAAAGGTGATCTTTAATACCTCCAGTGGTATCATTTTCGGAAAAGAGCCTGATCTGAAACATATAAGATCATAATTTTACCTGATGAAATGCAACAGAGTAATAAAAATCTATCAACAAATTGTAACTTAGAAAATTATGCAAGTTATAACCGATGTGAAAATGCCTGATTTCAATAATGCAGCTGTAATAGAACCAAACCAGCTTTCCAATCAAAAGTGTTTTAATATGGTCAAAACAACCAGTCCAAATGTCCAAGCGTAAAGTAGAACGTCAACCATCGGTTAGATGTTTTCATTCAGACGGTTTCAGATAATACAACCATCGGTTGTAACATCTGAAACTTGGCAGCAAATTCAGACAAAAAGACTAAAGTGCAAGAAAAGTCATAAATAAAGGATGAAAAATTAAGAAAGAATCAATTAGCTGCAGATAAAAAGTCAAAAATAAAAGAAAAAAGATTAAGAAAGAAACAAATGGCTATTTAGAAAAAGTTATTATATGAAAAAACTAAAAAAGAAAGAGAAAACATGAGAATTTTGAAAAAAGAAAAAAAAAATTGTAAAAGAAAAAGAAAGCCTTTAAACTGAGTCAGAAAACGAGTTTCATTTAAATGTTGATAATAATTATAAAATAAGACTCAGATTGTTATGATAAAACTCTATCCTTTCCAGTTTAAGAACTTAAAGGATATGTAATAAAATAATGGAAATGCTTTAAAATCTTTAGTTTTAATTCATAATAATATTTTCATTACTATATAATTAATATTTATTCAATAGTCTTTTTTTTTTTTTAATTTATACACCTAAAATCGTTTAACAAAATGTTACTAATGCATTAAATTTTCATTTGAAACCGCAAGCGCATTTTTAACCAGACATTAAAGCAGATTTTAAGATATACGATAAGTGTCGACAATATATACTATAAGTGTGAAACACTTACAATAAATATAGAAAACTGCACTTTAAAATTTGGATCAAAATAAGTACATTATTGATTTAAACTTTAATTTTAAACTAACCCTTATAGCATTTTATTGACGGCTGAAAAAATTCATTTTTAATGCATTTCTTTTTTTTGAGTAATCTAAGATATTATAACAACTTTTGTTAAACTCACGGTAAGTGTGGAAACGACCCTAGTTAATGTAAAAGCAAACATTAAAAAAAGTGCTGAAAATAAATTTAATAGCAAAAATTTTATTTATTCTTAATCATTGGTATCCAGGAGCATATTAAATTTTCTATAAAAATCTAATTTTTGAATAAACCTTGAATTTCTCAAATTTGTATGTGATTTCATTTTTAAGGCATCACATGGATTTTTATTTCAAAAAAAAAATGCATACCAATCTACAATCCAATCAGGATGTACAACTTGATCATTTCTAACAAAATTAATTAAAAATTAATTACTTAATGTTTGTTATAAAAAGTGTAATATTTACACTACAGTCTTAAATATTATTTAAACATAACATTTATAAAATATATGATAAATAATATGATTTTTATTATATAAATTACTTCTTTAAATCTTTGATTTTGCTGCTCGTTAAATTTGTAGCTATAACATGGGTAACGTGAGTTTTTGAAAAATAATGTTGATAGCGGCCACCATTTTCTCCAACTAATCTCTTTAACTCATCAGATGATGGATCTAAAAAAAATTTTATAATAAATTTATAAAAACTTGGAATAAAAACTCTAAATAAAAATCTTAAGACAATGAAGTGAAAGTAAATGATTTGATTTTGTTTACTATTTTATGCCAAATAAGCAACTGTATATGAGAGAGTCAATAAACTTTCAAATAAGCAACTGTATACAAGAGAATCAATAAACTTTCTAATAAGTAACTGTATATAGAATAAACTGCACTGAGAAAATGAGGCCACTTCTTTACAAAAGCAACTAGAAAGACGATTTTTTTTTATTGTCAATTATTGTAAAAACTAGAATAAATAATAATATAAACAGAAAAAATAAACTGAAAAAATTTTTTTATGAAAAAAGGTTTTATTATTCTTTATTCTCTTTTCAAATTAAACCCTATCTGATACATTATCTATAGAGCAAATTATCATTTAGATTGTGATGAACAGCTTTCTTAAAACTTTGATACAATAATAAATTTATAAAACAATAATTATAATAAACATACAAGTGTATCCGTTGACCCAGATAGAAACATTCTTAAAAATATTTGATTTTCTAAAAAAAAATTCTCAAAATTAAAAAAAGAAAATTTAATAAATATTTATAAAAATTTTGTAATTTGTTAAAATTTGTTAAAATCAAAGGATTATAACAAAGAACTAGAGGTTATGTTTGGAAAGACAAGTAGTTTTTTTCTTCTCAAATATAATATATTATAATATAATTAATACAGTAATACATTATGAAAATACACTAATACATCATCAAAATAATGTAGAAAGTAGATGAACAAAGTTCAAATTGAGTATGAAAACTTTTTATGTTAAAAGGCTTATCCAAAATGTTTTATCATGTTCAAAACATCTTTAAAGTAGTATAAATACTTGGGTTGTTCACAGAAGCACAAGTTGAATTTTGATTAAAAAAAAACGTTTTAGAAATTCTATTTTTGTTTTGGTTCAAAATAAATTCTAATTAACTATTGAACTAAAATAAATTTTTTTCAAAATTCAGGATTGATTCTATCGCTATCATCCAAATCCTAAAAATGGAACAGAAACAATTTTTCACTTTTGAAATTCTAAACATTTTATGAAAATATTTTTATATCATCGAAATTCTTAAAATAGAACCAGAACAGTTTTTTATTTTTGAAATTATTATGTTATCCAAATTTTTAAGATAAAACCAATACAATTTTTCCTTTTCGAAACTCTATAATTGAAACTTTTAAAATTAAAAAATTACTACGAAAGTTTTATTTTATTACAATCTAAAAACTGCATTAAAATATTTTTTTTTTATTAAAATTCTACAAAATTAAAATAAAATAATTTCTAAAATCTTAAACTCCATCCCCATTTTAAATACGTTCTTCAGAATTTATATTGTTGGCTAAATTTTGTTTAGCTAAATGACTTTTTTTCTTACTGGTTTCAGTGTTTGTTAGAATTTTAAGTAACACCCTCACCCATATCGCAGAAACGATAGAGTTAATCTTCTTATACGTTTTTTATTACAATAGTGGACTATTAGTGCTTCGTTTTGCATTATTTTCTGAAATATAAAACTTTCATATAAAACTGAAACAATTCAACATAATTTCAGTTTTCTTGCTTTTCACAAAATATATTTACATTTTTGGTTTTGCAGAAAACTTATTTTTTGGTGGTTTTAATTTCTCTATACTATTTATAGCATAAAAACTCAATTTGTTGCATAAACTTTGTATTAAAAAAAACTCGCATACAATTGATATCAGTAAAAAATAAATGTTGTAATATAGTTTTGCAACTTATTTCATGTGTTTTCACAAATATGCTTTCAGACAAATAAACTTAATGGAATTTAGGCTCAAAAAAAAATGTTTTTTCTTTAGTCTTGGAAACTTGATAGTTACCTTATATTTAGTAGTTAATTTAGCAGTTAATTTAGTAGATTTGGAAAGTTTTAAAAATTTCAAAAGTTTAGATTTGGAAATTTAGTAGTAAAAAGTTTAGTAGTTAGCAAAAGTTTGTTTGTGAGATGGTAAATACATAAACACTTATAGTTGTTACCATATAATTGCAGTCATGATATTTCCACTGTAAAGTTTTATAAAATAAGCAAAGTATACCCAATAAGCCTATATTATTTTATCTTTGGTTACGTACCATCTTGAGAACTTTTGGCGATATATTATCAGGATAATTTATGCTAACTTACATGTTATAGTTGCATCACTATGCCAAAATGTGGTTTCATCACTATGCCAAAATGTAGTTGCATCACTAAGCCAAAATGCCAAATTAATTTACTCTATTTTATTATATCTTATTTTTTATAAATGTAAAAATTTGAAATTATTCTAAACTCAAACCTTTTAGAATGGCAATAAATAAATTTCCTGAAAACTTTTAGAAAACTGAAAACTTTTAGAAAACTGAAAACTAGGCAATATTTAAATGTTCTGCTTCAAAGATCAAAGAAAAGCCAGAGAAACATATTTTTTTGGTAGATAGAAAGCCAGAGGAACATATTTTTTTGGTAGATAGAAAGATGCATTAGCAAAAAAAAACCCTTAGTTTTCTCATCAGACTTCCCAAATGTCATGGAAAAAAGTCAAATGAAAAATTGTCTAATTTTACCACCAAAAAAAATAATACATTTATTATTTTACTATTAACACAAATATTCCATACATCTAGCACATGCAAAGGTGAGGAATTTATTACCTTACTTGTCTTTTCTAATCTTTTCTAGATATAAAAATCACACTTAAGTCAAATTTATCTACGACCATCATGCTAAGTTACTACTAAATTGTAAATAGACTACAATAAGATATATTCTATTTGCACATTAATCACCCTTAATATTGTTAATAACAATTACAATATTATTAATAGTATGAATGTCTTTATAAGAGTCAACTCTAAAAATTTTATTTTTTTGCATTTATTATATCTAAATATGTAAAATATTTTTCTTAATCATCTTACAATTACACTATTTATACATTATATAGACACAAAATTTGACTTCAAGCAACTATTACCATGCTAAACTAAATTCTTAATATCCTTATCTTTTAAATCACTAACCAAATTTAGCATAGTAAGTAAAAAATCAATAATGAATAAAATTATTAATAAAACCACTAAAATATCATTCTAGATAATATTTTTGTGTTAGTTTGTTTTTTATCGACTGTTATGTCAAATTAATTGAAAAATACATCAAAAGATAATTTTAAATAAAGTTTTTGTTGCAAATTTTTCATTTTAGTGAATTATTTTATTTTATGTGTTTGACACAAAATTCTCGCAAAATTTTTCTGAATTATATTTCAAACAGTTTATTTCAGTAATAAATCAACACAAATTACAAAGGATAGCACAACCTCAGCAAATTAACATGTTTACAATTACAAAAAAGTAAAATTGCAATATTTATGTGACATATCAGTTAATTTTACAATTTTAGGAGCTGTTTATATAGATAGAAATATCCCGCCTAACCAAAGTACTCTGTTAGAAGGGAAATTTTATCTCGTATTTATATGAAAAATATTTTGCATAATTGAGACATTTTACAATCATCTAATATTTGTTAAAAAATAATTTTTTTTAACGTTTTTTTAGGTGCCCCAAGAGGAGTTTTGTCAACGAGCACAGCAGAAGAGCATTTAACTGGAAGGTTTTGCCTCATTCTTTACAGATGACTTGAAATATCTAAAGGCTGGTATTGAACCCTAGATCTTTTACTCCTAAAGCAAGCTGCACCATGGCTGCTTAAACATCTAAAATGATTAAAATAAATTGGGCTAATTTTAAAAATAAAATTGGAGTAAAAAAAAGTCTTTCAAACGTTATTTATGTTAGAATATTAAGAAGACATTTAAAAGATGTTTAAAAGATATTAAAAACGTGAAATTTAAAACAAATGCCTTTAGTTTTCTACAAATAACTTGATAACTTTCCATTTTTTCTCAATGCATATTAAAAGCTTGATAATTTTGTGTGTTCTTCTAAATAAGCATTAACTAATAATTAACTAATAATAATCATTATAATCAAAAAAAGATTTTTTTACAGTAATATAAATAAAGAATATTAATGTTTATTTGGTTGTATAAATTTTGTAATAAAACTGCCTAGTCTAGCCTGATTTTTATTTTATGTTCATATAAAAAAATTTTCACCTCGCCTGACTGGGATTTTAGTTGTTCACGTGCAAGATCATACATAAGCAATGCAAATGTTTTACATGTGAATGAAATGTTAAAATTAAATGAGTTTCACAAGATCAGTGAGACCTGGGTTGTTTTTCTACTTCACTTAGACGAAATGTTTTTCATCCATAAGAAACAGTACCAAAATATGCCGGGCATAAAGTTGCAAAAAAAAAGTTTTTTTTCCTTTTGCGTATTTAAAAAAATTTTTTTTGCCGTTTTTTTGGTTTTTATGAGTTTTTTCTGTTGTTTTTTTTTTGCAATTTTTAAGTTTTTTTGGCATAAATTTTGGAATAGTTTTCTTTTATTCTAGTCTGGAATGCAGAGTCCCAAAAAAGACTCAAGATTTGAATGTCACAAAAAGATTACTTCTTAGTATTTGGTATCCAGGAGCTCTAATAATATAAAAAAGGCTTATGGACTACTATTGTTAAAAAAATTAAGACTTTTAGATTAGAGGAAAAATCACTTTTTGAATCTGGAGTCCTTAGGTGTAATGGTGGCAAGGTCTCTGAGACTCCAAGACTTCATGCTTAAAAACAATGTTTTAACTCATTAAATTTCAAGGAGTTTTTTTCATATAGCAGATCATTAGTCAATCAACATGTCCAGTTGCATGTATAAACACCAATTTAACTTATTTTGAATAAAAAATAAATGATCTATAAGTTAGTAATAAATCTAGGCATACTTTATGGGAATGTTTTTGTCATGTTTTAAATTGTCATGTTGTACAATATAACAACTGTGATACACTTATTATATATAGAAATTATTCTTATCCTATAATAAAGTTAACATTTTAATTTTGATAATGTTGATATAATAGTATACAATACCATGCCATTTAATATCAGACTTCAAATGCTCAATAAAAAAAGCAATCTATCAAGATTATTTATTTCTTTGAGCATTTGTATATTGCGTAGTAATTTAGTCTTACATTGCTTATTTGTTATATTTGTCAACAAAATATATCACCCTTATATAGGCCCTTATAAAGACTTATACTGTACTTAATTTCAAAGAGAAATTGTTATTATTTGCTGAGTTTCCCAGACCACCTTCACCTAATGATTTGGAATTTATTTATTCATAACTTATTTTTTTATCTGTATTTTTATACATATAGTAATATGTAATATATATTATATGTAATATATATTACATACATATTACTATATCAGGTCGCTTGCAAAAATTTTCAACATGCTTTGTTGTTCAAAGTCAATTTTTAGACATAATGTTATGGCAAAAGGAACATTTAACCTTTTTTGATTTAAGAGACAGAAAAATTAAGATATCCTTTCTCTCTCTATATATATTTATGTATATAAAGATAAAAGGCAGACAGCTGTCCTATGAAATAATGCTGCTATAGAAAGTGCTATATAACCTATACATAAAGCCAGCACTGCATTTAAATCTAAAACCAGCACTGCAATTAATAACTCCACAGTAATTTGCACTCCAATACAAAATATAACATAATAATTAATTTTTTAAAAATATAATCTATCTAATAGAATCTGCTTGTTTATTTTATTTTGGACTTGGTTATATTAATATTTTACATGATCTTTGTAATTTTATAGGTTTATTATACTTGTCTGTTACTTTTACACAATCTTTGTAATCAATTTCATAGTCTTATTATACTTAATTTTTTCTCTGTAATGTTCTTTTTTTAATATTAACTACAGGATATTTTATTGTAAAACGAATCTTTTCTAAAATGTAAAAAAACTTTATGAAATTTTTAAATATATTTTTATGTACCTGTGGATAATTGATTCATCTTGAAACTGATTTTGCAACTTGTCTGCTTTCATTTGTATATACCCACCCTAAATATGAATAGCATTTTTTTTTTAACCAAAAAAATGTATATAAAACTAAAAAAATGTTTATAAAACTAAAAAAAACTATATAAAACTAAAAAAATTACAACATTCTTATATCTTATACTTATATTCTTATTTATTTAAATAATGCTTTTATTAATGTTGAAACAAACATGTTATTAACTAACACTAGACATTGTGTGTGTGTATACAAGAGATAGGTATGCCAAACCTTGTGTTTTAAGGAACCAATATTTGTGCTAAAATTATGTGCCTCAATTTTTAAAGTTTGCTTTTTGCCAGTACGTGTATTATAGATAGTTTCGTGTTTTTTAGTATTACTTTTAAGAATTTTATATTAACTTTGATCTTTTAGAAAACTAGAATAACTACACTTGATGTGTTGTTTTTGATTATAATAACAAACATTAGAAATGAATTTATCAATGCTAAAAATTATGTTGTATATATATATATATATATATATATATATATATATATATATATATATATATATATATATATATATATATATATATATATATATATATATATATATGTATATATATATATATATATGTATATATATTGTATATATATATCCATATAGCAAACATTGAAGATATGCTTAATATTTTTCTATACTGATCATTAGCTTAAGATTTTTGTGCGCTTGCCAAATTTTATTGAAAAATTTGCATGCAAACTATCACTATTTTTGCTCACACTTCTTGTACCTAATTTCTATTTTCTGAAATCACTGGGAGAGAAAGGAAAGGGGGGGGGGGTAAAGGAAGGGAAAGTAGGAAAGTATAGTAGAAAGTATAAACATTTCCCTCAAAAAAATAAATGTTGATCTTTCAAAACTAAACAATTAGTAAATTTTTTGTGCTAATGTAGTAGTATGGATAAAATTAGTTAGCCTACTCTTGTGTGCTTATTACAAGGGTATTAAGCACACTGTTAATTAAGATTTTGCCTATTCAAATTAAATAGGCAAACTCATTTTGCCTATTTAATTTATTAATACTATTAAGTTAATTAATGTAATTGAAAAATAAACAAAATTGTTGTATTAAAAAGCTATTTCGGCAGTATGACACACCGAAAACAGAATGACAGCGAATCTATAGATGCGTATTTGACCAGTATGCGTCAACTTATTGGTTTGGCCAATATTGAAAGCGAAGAATTATTGTTAAGAGGGTTCATAACTGGATTGTCAGGTGAAATTTCAAAACAGCTATGAGCACAAGTGAAAATATTTGGGATCAATTTACAGGATGCATTAAACCATGCAAGTCTACTCATGTCGGAAACTACAAAAGAAGAATATGTTTCAACAACAATCTCTGGGTCCTATATAAATATTAAGAAACCATCCATTAATGATTTCAACTGCTACAAATGCGGCAAGCCTAAACATGTTGCCCGAATCTGTTTTTCGAAGAAACAAAATGTTAATGATGGAATAAAATATTTTAAATGTGGAAAATCTGGACACATTGCAAGATTTATTTTATTATTTTAAGCTTTTACTATTATTTCAAGCAACATGGTCAGAAAGTCGGTGTTTATATCAGAAGAAATGAACTAATGGTGTTAGCTGCTAATAGAGAATTTGTGAAAACGAAGGGAGAAGCTATAGTAACATTATTCATTAAAGGAAAAAAACAGTAATGATTCTAAAAAGTGCTGTCAACAGCATTGATGTAGTTATTGGTATGAATGTCATACCAAGAATTGATATGTCATAATCACTGCGGAGGAGTGATTTGTACACTTGTACAATTGAAAAATTGATTTTAATGCTTATTTCAATAGTACAAAGTGGATTGCTAAATAAAAATGGAAACCACAACTAAAAAGAAAAAGGTGAACCACAACTAATGAATTCTGTCAGTCAGTATAAGATTAAAACCCAGTTGATACATCAATTTAATGAAGAGATGGACTTGTAGGTGAAAAATGGCTGGTTGAAACAATGCAACAAAAATGGAAAAAATACAGAAGGTATTGTCCCGTTAATGGCAGTTGGACAAAAAAATAAAAGGAAGAAACGATCTGTTTTGGATTTTGGCGAGTTAAATCAGTATGATAATTCACATAAAATATGATTGAAATATGCAACTTTAATCTAGTCAATGTAAAAGAAGTAGTAAGTAAACCAATAACAAATCTTCAAGCGCAACCTCTGTATTTTCAAATTCGGTTCAGCGTTCTGGGGCTTTCCAATATGGCGATTTTGGCGTCAATTTTGATATTAGAGATGATGATGCAAAAGTGAGAAGATAGAGAACTGTTGGTGACAAATTTGCAACGCTTGATCTTAGATGTACCTATATACAAATACACATTGATTCAATATTTTGGGAGCATTAGAGGGTAGTCTACAAAGAAGAAAAATACATGTCCTTGCTTTGGGTTAAATTCTACCCCAAAAATTATGTCTTCAATCATAGGCAGTGTGTTTAATCTCGATGCAGGCATTATTGAAGCAACTGACCACTACATCGACAATATTATTGTTAATTTGAAAAAAACTTTAGTTGAAAACGTCATAAACCATTTGGCCCATTATGGATTGGTAAACAAAGAGCCGGAGCAATGTGATATTACACAAGTGTTGGGTTTGCAACTATTTAGAAATGAAAAAAAAGAGTTTAGTTGGAAATGTGGAAACATCATTTCAAAGTCACAAGATATTAAAAATGAAAAAATAACATGAAAGAGACTTTTTTCAATACGCAGACACTTATTGGGTCACTATCGAGTTGAAGGTTGGCTCAGAATTGTCTGCAGTTTTATAAAAACATCATAGCTTAGGAGATGCTTGGGATGATCTAATTGGAGATCAAGCTCAGTCATAGTTGATGCAAATAATGCGTTGATTGGAAGTTAGTGATTCTGTAAAAGGAAAATGGAATGGTGAAGGGATTCAAAATGGAGCAACATTGTGGCGTGATACAAGCATCATGTCAATAGGGGTTGCTATAGACTACGATGACATAATAATTGAGGATGCAGCATGGCTTCAAAGTATAAATGATGTCATGCATATTAATATTGCTGAATTAGATGTTGTGGTTTTAATTGGATAAACCTAGCCACTAAGTAGGTGCATAAAGAACATCAGGAAATAAAGTTGTGGAGCGTAACCACAGCACAGTAAAATGTACAGCAGCAAGGGCACAAATATATTTGTTAATAGCAGTAGGTTGGTACAATGTAACACCAATGATGGGAACACACAAGAAACCTGCACATACTTCTCAAAAAAATAAATACGTCTGGCATCTACCAATTTGAGTCGAGAGAAAACACTGAAACTTGGTTTGATAATGGCTAATTGTTATAAAATTTTATTGTTATGCTAATGACTATTTTTATCATAATATCAATAAGTTGATTGATGTAATTTATTTTTGTATGTAATTATGCCCTCAAGAATTTTTGTTTACATATAAAAGTTGTAAATAGAATTTGAAAAGATTAATTAAAAGAGTTAAAAATAAAAGTAAATAAAGTTGTCATATTAACACAGATAAAGTATAGAAAAAAATGTAAAGATAAAGTTTAGGTTAGCCACTTACTAAATATAATTGTTTTAAATAGTTTTTTATCAACATTATTCAGATGCAGATGGTGTAGAATGTTATCGACATTATTTAGATGGGTGTAGAATTTGTCAGCATTCTTTTTTTAGTCTTCATTCAGGGCTCACATTAAAGGTAATGCAATCCTAGTATTTAATGCTATTTAAAGAAAATATTGTTTTTTGCACTTTCCTCATTAGTTTTTTCTTAAAATTTTTTTTTTGCAATTTGTGTTTGTTTTTTTTTCTGTAAATTTTTTTCTTCTTTTCTAATTTAGCATTTTTTTGGCCATTCTCAAAAGTATAGAATATTTTTGTCTACTATTTTTATTAGAGGTCACAAAGTATGTCATGCTAAATTTAATTTTTAAATAAAAGATTGTTTTCAATATCATGCGCAGAATTTTTGTTAAAAATTAAGTACTTTTGAACTTTAATTACATTAAGTCTCTGCGTGGAAGCCAATAATATATTAATTCTATTTTAAAGTTAAATTTTGAGTGATTTACTTAATGGATAAAATACATTTAGTAATAAAGTACATTTAGTAATAAAGTAAAACCTGAAAACTAAATCAAAACAGTTAAGTTACTAAACTATTAAATTTACTTAATCAAAGTATTTAGATATTAAGTACATTGCTCGAAATAATAGTTAATCAACGATCAATGACCGGCTATTTTTAAGAAAATTTCAAAAAAAATTCAAGGGAAAATAATCTGTTCTTGTGAAATAATTACATTTGATCGGCAAGCTTTGAAAAACTATTTCGAATGTTGTAAGTATATAAATATTTAAATTAATTTAGAGACTTTCATTTGAACCATAATGAAGGTCTCTAAAAAGTTACTGCCCTCTTTATTTGTGCCCTTATCTACTATAAAGACCATATCAAGGAGAGGGCAATCAACCATATCTTTCTTTTTATTAAAAAAATAACATTATTAGTTGCACCCTTCATACAGGCCAGTAGGCAGATTAAAGGGGCACTGGTTTCTAATAACACATTCAACCGTAATAACTAAAAAATAGAGTTATTTAAAAATGATGGCATTTTTGGTGTGACTTGACAAGTTTAGAATGTTTGCATTTTCAGATAGTTGGGTCTAATGGTCTCATATGCTTTTAATCTAAGATCAAAACAAATTGTTAGAAGAATTTACAAGCATCTCAAAATGGCTGAAACTTGTCTTTTTAGGCAAATGGACATTTTGCTTTTAGATATATTTGAGTTCCAAACTGCAACAAGCTGCCTATATTTTGCCTATTTATTGCAGATAGTAGTAGCTAATCAGAAAACTTATTTGTAAAGACTTGTAGATGAATAGAAAAATTCTACAGTTAGTTTTATTTTACTTACAAACACTCACAAAATTGTCCATAAGCTTCCAGCAAATATAAGTGCTCAAAAGGACTCTCCAGCTACTCAACCAATTGTTGTCCAATTTGAAAAAGGATGTGGAAACTAGAAACAGTATACTAGCTTTCGCAAAAAATCTATCAAAATTTGACAGCTACAGAATTAAAGTTTTTATTAGTCCAGACCGAACTCCTTCTGAGGTTGATACTTTTAACAAGCTTAATAAAAACAGGAAAAAGTACAATGACGCTTTAAAGACAAATAATGCACTAAATCAGCCCTTTCGATTTGTCATCTGAGGAGGGAGGCTCAAATGCATCAACACACAAAAAACATTCAATATTAACGGTACTGAGAAAAACCCGTTTGGTGACTAGAAAGAAGCTTGCGCAGCTGCAATGACTGCAATGCTTTTCCAGATAATTTCATCGAGGGAACATCAGTTGATAAACAGCTACTAGACAGTTTTCAGTCATTATAGTTGCTCCAGCAATTACCATACTCATTGTGTGGCCACACAAATGTGGCCGACATATGAATTGGGTATAGATGCCTATACTCAGCTGATGATGAGTTTAACAAGGCTGTGGCTTTGTGTAACTTAACTAATTAACTATATATAAATATAATTCAAATAAATATATATATATTTTTAATTATTCACCTCCCCAAGGCCGAGATGGCCACTACGGTCGAGGAGGCTACTTTGGTGGTTATAACCCTATATCAACTCTTAAACTCCAAAACATAGACCTTAACAAAAAAAGACCGCTGCGCAGAGAAACAAGTTGAACATGGTACTACCAGGGATGTGGTGGGGATCGAACTTGGAACTTTTTTCTTATGAGGCGAGCGCTCCACCACTACCACAATATAATAATATAACTATATATAAATGTAATTATGGCTGTTGCTGAAATATGTATAAATTTAGTCATGGTTGCATCTGAAATAAGCTATAATATCTTGTCGCATATTCAAAACTCAATCTTGCATGACTTGTCATTCAACAAAGTTTCATCCTTTTACTGAGCCATCTAATTTATATCTTTAAAAATTATCATTCACTACAAACCGCTCATGAAAACAATATATAGAACCCATTGCAAAATTAGCATTTGCTAAGGTTGCCTGTTTTTATTATGCACATTATTTTCTTACTCCTGATTTCATTCATTACTTCAAATTTTTTATTTCTGTATGGAATACTGTTTTCATATTTGAGTTACTCTTTGAACAGTTCCAGAAATGTATTGCAAATGTAGTTAAACCTTTTCTAGGTGCAAGGCTTGAGTCTAGTCTCATTATTGTAAAGTTGTATCTTATTCTCTTTTCTATAAATACTATAACTATATATAAGTATAATTATGGTCACTGCTGAAATACTATATATAAATATAATTATGGTTGCTGCTTTCATCTCTTGTTCTACTAACCAAAACTCAATGTTGTATGACTCATCATTCAGCAAAGTTGTATCCTTTTACTGTATATAACATCAATATGTACAGTATTTAATACTATTACTTAAGTGATTTTAATAAAGTACTGCAAGTGGTAGGACTTAAGAAAAAATACAGCAAGTAGCAGAACTTGGAAAAAAAAGTACTATTCATTCTAGGTACCTAATTATTCTACATCATCCTGTGTTTTTAATTAGGTTAACTTTCATAAGTTACAATGCATATTGAAAACTTGATAAATTAATTTGGTATACAGAACCTTTTACATGAAAAAAATGTTTTCAATTTTTTAAAAAATATTTGTACAAAATATTAACAATAAATTCATTTCCATAGAAAAGAGATTGAATAAGTTCTATACATATAGATATAGGAATTGACAAGGATATATTAATTTAAGTTAATAAAAACTTTTTTTTTGACCACAGTTTCTTCAACAAATCCATATATCAAAAATAGGGTACTTAAAAAATCAACTTTTTTTGCCTAATTTTGATAACTTTTTGCAATTTTAAAATATTGAATTCATACTCTTTATAATGATATATATCAATCAATAAATCAATCATTTTATTTCACTTTATAAAGTAAATACAAAGTTAGGATCAGTCACAAACAGTTATTAAACTGGCAAAAAACACGATGACCTATAGATATTCACTACAGATATAAATTTGACAAAAAGTATAACATATTACAAGTACATGAGTAATATCAGGTAATAATAAACACTTAAAATACAAAATAAATAAAAAGAAAAAAAAAGAAAAAGAAAGAGCATTTAAAAAAGAAGCTGAAAATGCTAAATAACAGGCTTTAAAATAGAACGAGAATAATACAATAACAAGAGCATCACTAATAGCGTGTTATTAAAGAAAAGAGGCAAGAACAACTTGAATTTTACAGGTACAAAGGACAAGGTCAAAAACGGAAATGAAAAACAATTACTGAGATAAATAACAGCAGAAGCTTTTCTTATTATTTTTATCTTGAATAAATTCCTTGACTTTGTTGATGAAGAGAGTTCTACTTCCTTTTTTTAAATACATTGTCTTAATTTCAGAGGGAAGATAATTTCATGATTTAATGGATTTATATTTAATGGAATTAATGCCATACTTAAGTGTTTGCTTCAAAGGTATTACAAGATTGTTACATGATGCTGATCTAAGATTATGGCAATGACTTTTATTAACAAATTTATAACAACTATTGAAGCTTATTGGTAAGTTATTATGCAAACTGTCACATACAAGTGTGCAATTCAGCATAACAATCTAGAATTTGATCCATTTAAAAATTTTAATATGCATACCTTCAAGAGGAAATAAATCTTATCTCTTGAATAAATTTCTTAACTATTTCTCCAATTATAGTGAAAACTAAATGAGTTTTCATTAGTCAAAGATTATTTGCATTTAAAATAAGCAACGCATTAAACAATATCTTAAGATGAATTAAAAGTGATACTATGTACTGTTATTTTTCAAATAAAAACATTCCTTTGCAAATTAAAATGTAAAAAAACTAAAAAAACACATTTTTATAAATAAAAAGTTTTTCTTGTACTATTTACATTTTTATTAGATTTTTTATACATTGTATTATTTACATTGTGTGTTTTCAAGTAAAAGAAAACAAGATAAAAAAAATCAAAATAATTTGAACTTTTTCCAAAAGTTTAAACCTACAAGCTTAAATTTTGAAATAAAATTTCAAGTAGATAGCGCGACATATTACCAGTGACTTATATTACAAGGTCATTGTTATCTAGGTTTATTAGCTTGGTCTTGTTGCTTTAGTCCTTGTTTGTTTTTATATATATTATTTTTATATATCATTTATATTATCATTATTATCATTATATATCATACTTTTATATATCATTTTAATCATCTTTACAAATTCATTCTTTTTTTATATAAATAATATTAATATTATTTATGTAAAATAAAAAACATATAAACTTATATAATTTAAAAAACATCATATACATAATTACGTATAAAAACAAACGAAAAAACAAAAACAACCTTTTCTTCCCATACATTGTTGCAACTTTTTCTCTTCATTTAGAAATTTAAACAAACAGCACATTAACAAAAAAAAAAATTTTAATTTTGTTGGAAATAACTTAAGGATTTATTTTTTAGTTCATAATAAGTATCATTTTTAATATAATTTTATTTAAACCTGTTTATTTCCCCGCTAAATGTTAAATGTGGTAAAATAAGTCATAATAATAATCTTTATACCGTATGATATCACCGTGTTATAATACTGACTTCCGTCTAGGCATGAGCGGGCCTTCCGCATTCCGCCTTTCTAGAGTAGAAGGCTCGATCATGCTGAATGTGACGTCACATTAGTAGGCCATTGCTTTTTTTTTTTTTTTATTGTACAGTGATCAAAAAAAAAACCAATACAATAAATCTGTTTAAAGTTTGATGAAGAGGTGCTACACCAGGCCCCTCTATGCTGATGAAAATAAAAAACACAAAAGCGACAGACAAAGCAGCAATTGTGTCTCTAAAAGTTACTTTGTTATACTGTTTTTGAAAGCATGGATAGATGGAGCGTTCACCACTGCTTGGGAAAGCGCATTCGATGGGACAACAACTCTATTTGAAAAAAAGTTTTGTCGTTCTTCACAATTTCGTACAAGCTGGCGTTCTAGTTTTTGATTATGCCCTCTTAAAATATACTTGGCTTTACTGTTTGAAAGTTTTTGTGGAACGAAAAAACTGACAAGTTTGAGCTGACGAGTGATTTTAAATTGTTCGATAAGGTCTGCTTTTTTACGTCGTTTTTCAAGTGTTGTTAGACCGAGCTGTGTGAGTCGATTTTTATAGGACAGGTGTTTAATAGATGATATTGTTTTTGTTGCTCGATGTTGGACTTGTTCGAGGATAGCAATGTCGGACTTTAAATGCGGCTTGAACAGCAAACTTGAGGTGGGGCGAATGTAAATAAGATTCTATTTTTTTAATTTTTCAAACTTTTTTTTTAATTTTTTAAACTTTTTTTTTAACTTTTTAAACAAACTTTTTGTTGCAAATAAAAACAGAATTCTGTTTTTAGCTGCAACAAAAGGTTTGTGTGCCATTTCAACCATCCACGATCTAAATTAAATAGGTAATCATATACTGAAGCAATATCAAACTCTAATAAATTTTCTGATACAAGTTCTTTTTTTTTCAAAGCTCACAAATTTTTTTCTATGTAGCAACATAGCCTGCAATATACTCAAGAGAACTGCATTCAAAAGAATAAACAATTACATTATCTGATCTTGTCACTAATTTAGAAAAATTATCAAGAAAAACATCTTATTATTACTTCTAAAATAAAAACAGTTTTCTTGTTGATAGTGGCGGCGCCTGCATTTTTTGGTCTTTGAGATAGCTAACTTCCAGAAATGGAGAAAACTCCAAACATTTATAAATTTATACTTATGTAAAATAAGGATGCTTTGCAAAAAATTACGATGATTGGAGCTTGGGAACAAAAGACCCAAAAATTTTGGCCGACACTGCCCCAAACGTGAGAGCAACAAGTTGATAAAATAGTTTTTATTTTATTTTCAACTAGACTTATATTTATCGATAAATTTTCATAGTATTATCTCTCAGCGTTCAAAAATTATGACCGTATAAAATTTGCAACCCCCTCAAATTCAGGGGGGTTAAACTTTATATGGTCATAATTTTTGAACCTTGAGAGGTATTACTATGAAACTTAAAATTTATCAATAAATATAAGTCTAGTTGAAAATAGTACAAAAACTATTTCATCAACTTGTTTCTCTCACGTTTGGGGCAGTGTCGGACAAATTTTTGGGGTTTTATTGTTCCCAAGCTTTAATCATTGTAATTTTTTGCAAAGCATCCTTATTTTACATAAGTATAAACTTATAAATATTTGGAGTTTGCTCCATGTCTAGAAGTTAGCTAACTCAAAGACCAAAAAATGCTAGCGCCGCCACTGCTTGTTGAATCATAAAAATGTTGAATAAATGATTTAAAACCACCACCACAAAAGACAATAAACATGCTTTGATTAATCCAACTATTGTCTGAAATTAAAAAAAGAAATTTGTAACCACAATTTTCAATCATTTCAACCACTTTTATAGTAATGTCTTTTAAATAGACAGCAGTCAAATTTTTACTGAAACAACATCTTTGAATGATACTGCAGCAACATCTTTGTGTGATGATAATAAAGAAATATAAATGTTTGCACTGTTACATGCATTTTAGATAACTAAAAGCCAGAGTAACAGGACTATATGAAAATTGAGAAATAAATTATATTTTTATTTGTCACATCTGTAGAATAATCATCATCTTTAACTCGTTCACATAGATTATTTAAAATACATTGAATTGTTAAAACATAATCTGAACTGGACATGATATTTTTATCACCAGAAAAAAATTGTGTTAACATAGTGGATAAATGAGCCTAACAAGAAAGTTTACATTCATCGTTAAGTACCTTAGCTACCAAACTGCTGTCTATCTTCAAATTACAAGCAAACACTTAAACAAGTAGATAATTGTGAATGTAATTTTTATTAATAAATAAAAAAGAATGTTAGGAAATAATGATGGGTAAGCATCTTGGGTTATTTTTGGTCCTTTTCTCTCAACATATATCACAGAACCATCATCTCGTTTCATTGTATCAACACAAACAATATATGTATGAATGAAATATTTTTCACACACAGCAGTTTAATTTGAAGGAACTAAATTTACTCGAGGAATTTGACGAATCCATAATTCTTTCATCATTGGATTACTTAGAAATTTAAAAACACCAACTTTTTCACACTACTAAAATTCATAAAAATATACTAAATTCATAATAAACTTTACTGAAAATTTGAAAACTAAATCTTAAATACATACAACATGAGAAATTTTAATATTTAGAAACAAATAGATAATCGAAAAATTTAACATCGGACTACTAAAGTGATGTCGCAAGAGTTTTTTCACTCCATGAGCGTGGCTTCTAAAGTAGAAGACTCACTATCAAACAGTAACTCCTGTTACCGTGATAGAATACTTAAAAATTATACGGAGTTTTTAAAACACAGTTGCCTCGTTTAAATATATAACACCGAAAACAAAACTAGTCAAAATAGTGTGCAATGGTGATGAACATTGTACCTTTTTAAATTTGATTTGAACAAAGACAAAGTGGAAGAATAAACAATATAATCAGGTAGAGAATTCCATATCTTGATAATTCTTTCACAGTAGAAAAATCTTTATGTATCATTTTTACATTTGATACGTGAATTCAGTTTTTGGGCAAGACATATTGTAGGATAGTAAGAAGGAGCAAATGTAAAAAGTTCAGAAAAAGGTAGATTGACAAGGTTGTATATAATGTTATAGAACATTACAAAATAAAATTTTGTTTTACCGCGTTCAAGAGATTCTAGATTAAAGATATTGAGTCTTGAATAATCTTTACAAGGAATACAACATCTTTTACAGCCACTTCTAGTAAAAGATTTCTGAACCTTTTTTAACCGACGTATATTTTTTACAAAATGGAGATTTAACTCAGATGTGCAAGATTCTATGATAGGTTGAACATAAACTTTATTGGCTTTGATCATAAGCTTGAAATTGTAACTGATGAAGGATTTTAAATGTAAGTAAGAACGAGATGCAATGAAAGAACAGTGATCAGAAAACTTCATATCGAAGATACAACTATACCGATATCTTGATTTGAATTAATAGATTCAATGGGTGTCCTAATGTTAATTGAGTATGAATTTATTGGTAAAGAACTGTTTCCATTGCGTAAATATTTTTTGGTTGCTATATTAAGTTGCCAAACTTAATATAGCAACCAAACATTGTTTTTGACCATTCTGAAAAAAAATTTTAAAGTATAAATAAAAAAACGAAAAAAATTTAAAAAAAATATTCCGGTCTTGCATTTAAATTTTTTTTTGTCAATAAAATGTGGAAAAATTTTCTGACAACGTTGCAAGGGTATATATATATATATATATATATATATATATATATATATATATATATATATATATATATATATATATATATATATATATATATATATATATATATAAGGGTGTCCCAAAAAAAAAAAAAAAAGCTCTCTACTGATTCCCATTCTATGTGACCTAAATAAGTACTAAAAAAAATTTGACGGTTTTATTTTGACAGGAAGTGCTAGATGTAAAATCTGAGTTTTACTGTTTTAATGTTAAGCTAGCTTAATATTAATAGAAAACACATTTTAGAAAATTAAAACAAAACAATTAGATGGGTATAAATCATTTCCAATTGTTTTCTACTATTTAACTTGATAGATTATATTTATAAATATAAAAATACAAAAAAAATACATGAACACTAATATTTATTAGCAAATTTAAGATTTTATTGCGGTGAAACATTTCTCAAAAAATACAACTTTTTGAACAGTTCCCAAGCTCCTTTTTAGTCATAGTCTTAGTCAAGTTTTTTCTAGACTTTTTAACTACAAAAAGTACATTTTGAAGGCGATCTTCATCTCTAGTAGCTGAAATAAAATCTTTAATGAGCTTAATGTTTCTTTCTGCACTGCAGCATTTCTTTTTCTGTCAAGATATTACTGATATCTTTAGTCATATAAAGAGTCAGGATGTAGATCGCATCTGCTAAAAACCTTGCCTCATGGCAGGCGCCAGGTTGATGGAACTTAAAATCTTGTACTTCCACTCCAAGGAAGAAGGAGGCAAGCTTACAAACTATACCATAATCATTCCTTGAAAACACTTTATCAGTAGTTGCATTAGTCAAAAATGTCTTAGCTTCCTCTGCAACAGTGCGAAGAACAAAGCCAATCTTCAGATCATCTCTTTGCCAGTCCAATTTATATAAATTTTTCACTTTATTCACTTTCTCACAGATTTCAGGCCACTTGTTCTTTAGCTTGACATAAAGAGCTCTTCTTGGACCTTTAGTTTTCTCACCAGTAAGGGCAGCCATATAGTGAGATACATGTACTTCATATATGTGTCTCCTACACATTATCCACAAAATTGGTAATTTCAAAATATCTGTAAGAATTTGGACTGCTCCATTTACTCCGCCTGTATTGCTTGCAGTTGTATCACAGCATATACCAATGATCTGCTCTTTACATCCGTAATATTCTAAA